ACCCTCAATGACCCATGCGCTTCGGGGCGATGTCGTCACTGGTTCGGTTTATTCATGGTTCATGTGGTAAAGCCCATGCCGAGAACACACACCATTCCCAATATTACCCTCTGGTAAACTAACATAACTATGGAAAATCACCATTTTTTAAGGGTAAATCAACTATAAATGACCATGTTTAATAGCTATGTTAAATTACCCACAGGACGAGGGGTTGTCCCTTCCTCGTCCTACGAGGGTATGGCCCTCCGGGCCATACCCGAGAGCTGAGCTAGCAACCCATTGGTTCCATCATTCCAGTGCCAGGGGATTTTCTTGTCATAACATTTCCTTGTCATAATCTCCCGGCCCCATGGAACATTTACGCATACCTCTATTATAGGGGTTTCATATAGGGTATAAAATAAGTTATAAAATCCCCCGGCCCCATGGAACATATACGCATACTTCTATTAGGTGTTTCATTTAGGGTTTACATAAGTTATAAAATCCGGACTCGCCAAAAAAGTCGAAAAGATTGAAAAAGTGGAAATGGCCGAAACGCGTGAAGTCCGCAGAGGGTTCACTTTTCTGACTGATTTTTCCAAAAATTTGTCTTAGACCACCCTAACTCACAGATGTACCAGAGTCATAAAACACTGCACCTGCGCAGAGAAATGAGCCTCCCACTGACGTTCATACGACCATTCCGGGACAACCCTCAGTCCTGCCCGTTAAATTACCAGAGGGTACGATAAATGCTTGATATAAACCTTTGTTTATCAAGTGTGCAGTGAAGTGTCCATAAAGGTTGGCAGCCGATGGGGAATTGTTTTTTCAAGAGCTTCCTTTGGGGCCGGAGAAGATGACGCAAACATGTTGACATTAGCTGCGCGTTGTTGCCGAGTTCCATCGCCAACTGTCATGTTGCAGGACGCCATCAGTTGCAGTTTCTTCGTGAAGGATCAGCAGAAAATGCTCGACCTGTTTGGAGGCTTCTACGAAATCTTCAATAAGGACAGGTTTACCTCAGCTTTGGTTCTTAAAATGTGTATTTCAGTATTTCATGTTTTCTTCTCCAAGAAGCCCGTCAATTCCCATACACATAAAAAGAACTCTTTTTCGGATACGGAGATTGTATGAGATTGTGAGATGTGCGCATAGCCGAATAGCGGGGATTCCACCTGAAATTGAGCTGGTGCTTGTTGGAAAGAAAGGTTTTGACAGTTTCTATTGGAAAGGTTTGCCACCCTGTGATGATCAATGCCATCCCAGTGTCTTCCTCTAAGCATTTGGTGATATGAGTCCCTTCCGCGCTGTTGACAACACACGCACGCATAACATCACATAACAACTATAGCACGCTAAAAAGAGAGCCTTGCTTCAGCACACATGTGTTGTTCATTTTTGTTCCATTCTCATGGAGCAACAATAAAAAAACAAAAAAAACATTGTATCTGGCGTTTGGACAAAGTGTTTGCGTTCAATAGGTCAGAGTTTGAGCCCTGAAGCCACCGCTTTGTGCAACATATCAGTAAGTGGAAAACACAATGAACATCCATCAGTTCTTGATATTTGTGGACAACAAACCATCGGTGTTTGCCGCTTCCGCTTCTTTCAATCCGTTTCTCCAGAGGTTGAACAACTGCTAAATTCACAAAATGAGATGGAAAACCAACCGTTTCCCGTTTGTAATGTTACAGTATCTATCCATGGCAGGTGGGTTTTCCAGCTCTGTAATTGAAAAAAACCTGGAAGCAAACCCCTGGTCTGATCCCTGACCAACCGACAGGAGAACCCACCTCCTCCCACGCGAGGCGAATATGAAGCCATCACTGAGACTTGACAGCTGGATGTCAGACTATATATTTGGATCATTCCACGAATCGTAAGTGGATAATGACCATAGTTAGTGCACCCATTCATAATAATATATATATGTATGGGAAAACCCACTGAATGGGGGACTTACTAACCAGGGTTATTATATAACCACTTACTAAGTGGGATAACCCTCCAAGTAGCTACCTTCTGGTAAAAATCAATGGGGATTCAATGGGTTTATCATGGTTTATCCAACTAAAATAGGGATATCATGAGGATACAATGGTACATCACAACCAACAAAATGATGTGGCTTGGGGTGAAAATGGAGGATACCCACAAAACGGCATTTGTCTTAGGGAATTATGATGATAAACCATGAGATGTTGGCGTGCGGGGTTACCATGGCGCATCCAGTGGGAAATCCTCCAGTGGGAAATCCTCATCTGCAACCAATGGGGGATGTTCCATTGCCGGGTGAGGTGGCCGAATGGTATGGGTTGGACATAAATATCTATTATATATAGTTATATTATATATATAGAGTTTTATTTATGTATTCATTTATTCATTTATTTTTTTAGGTATATGTTTTTTATTTATATTTATGTATGTGTTTATATGTATATGTATGTATATATATAAATATATATTGATAATATATATATATATTGATAATATATATATATATTTATATATATATTTATTTATTTATTTATTTGGATTTATTTAAAATTTAAAAAGATAAACATTACTTTCATTAAACAATGTCTGGGTGATGGAAATATGATGGAGGAATCAGACATCGAAAAACCCAGTCGTCTCAACTGTGCGTGTTCTCCAAACAATGTGGTATGCAAATAGAGATCCCATGGTTGGTCATGATTCAAATGATACATAAATCATTGGGATTCAATGGTAAGTGGTCATCATTTCCCCATTCAAATGCAGCAATTCCAAGATACCCCAAGGCCATAGCGATGCCGATACTGGCCTCAGACTGTGGTTGAAAAACTTACGTTTGGTGTTCAATCCTACCTAGGATCATGATCCCAATTGGCTCATATTTTCTTCAGTGCAAAAACCATCAGTGATGCAATTTCCGGGCATACCCCCCAAACAAACATCAGAAACCATCAGAAACCTATTACATCCCATTCCCAAAATAGTGACACAGTACTTGTCTATTTTTTTGTAGCAGACTACAGGCGTCATTTTCAAAATCTGGCCTCCTAGGAATGCGCGGAGTGCCAAGTGGCCGCCAAGTGCATTGCTGCACGGCCGATGGAGATGGAGGTGGCGCGATCATGGGGAAATTCCAAGTACCATAATGGGTTACCCTCTGGTAAACTAACATAGCTGTTGAAAATCACGATTTTTAGTGGGTAAATCAACTATAAATGGCCATTTTCAATAGCTATTTGGACATAACCAGAGGGTAAAACCAATAATTAATACAGCATTTGGGGATGATATTGAGATAGTACTGGGATATTATCAGTGAATCAATGTGATATTTACTGTAGAAATTCAGATGTTGAGGGATGATACAACCCATCTAACAGCGATATGATTGGGATGGTTTATGATTGGGCAAAACCCACATTGCTGGAAAAAAAGTTGTTGTTCTTCTTTTTGGCCCCCTTTTTTATGACCCCTGGGACAATCCAAGCCCATGAAGGCCTTTGAATCCTACGAATCCAATTTTGTGATGATTATCTTCCATGACTTCCTATTTTTTGCGGCTGGCTGATCATGAACAAAACTACGCATTGGAAGCCGTCAAAATTGGGATACAATGAATGAATATTTTACATATTATATATATATGCATAGGTAGGTATAGGTAATCCACAAACCTGCGCTGGGTCCATGATGCTCTTTTCGCCTCCATGATGTTAAATGAGTTTTGTTGGCCATTTCTCTCAATTTGATTGAATTTCGGGACCTTTCCCCAATGGTCAGGTCCATTCAGAAGCTTTGCGGGCCGTATTGGTTTGACGGCCCCCACCAGCAGAGCAGAGAAAAGAACTTGCTGCTTCAGCTTGCACCTACTGGATGGTCCCAGCAAATCTGTAATTTGGAACCCATCAGGAACCCCTCAAGGGATATCAAGGGGGCGCTGGGAATGTCGCAGTCTTCCAAGCACACAGACATCCTTATTTTCAGCATGTCTCTAAATTGCTGAGTTCGTTGGTCTGAAGATTGAGATGCATCCAGCAAGAAGTGATCAAAAGTGGAATGTTTGCCAAAAAGGACATAGCAACGCCACAGTCCCAGCAACCAGCTGGTTACATCATCCGAGGCAACCACTCCGTGTCCGAAGCGAGGAAACGAGGCCATAGGTTGGGGGGAACATTCGTTTACATAGGCCTTCCATAGATTGATGTATATCATATATTAATATATATTATATGTGTGTGTGGTTAAAATGATATATGCCAATATGCGTTGTAGGTTTCTCCAAGTGAGGTAACTGTTAAACTGTCCCCTGAAGAAAGACAACAAACGAGAAAGATATAGAGAGAGAGAGAGATGAGAGAACCAATGGCTCTATCTGCAGCAATGGGGGGAAATTACAACCAATAGCGAATGACACTACACATATCTACACATGCAAATCATGGGCACCTTAGTGCAGTGATCTCACCAACATTCATGAGATTAGTCACGTGTGCACCTTTTTTTTGAATCTCATGTGAAAAATCATCACGTGGGGAATTCCCGTCAAGATGTAGCTATTTTATGCTATTTTCATCTTATTGGAAATCATCTCCAATCCCCAATATCATCAATATCCATAGATGGGGGGAAAAAAAAACATCATTATTTCCAATCATATCCACATCTATGTGAGTTTTTTTCCAATATCCCAATTTATGGAAAAAAAACCTCACATAGATGTGGAAAAAACCCATGGGCTTTCCCTATGAAAATGATCTGAGCAAATACCGTGGTAGCGGTTTTGTCATTTCACCCAGCTCCAGTTGGAAACCGCCAGGTTTCCAAGGCATGCGCATCAACATGGCACCTCGACTGGAGAATGCGCGTATTCCATCCATTCCCGATGTGTTTGGTGTTGGAAAATGCGGCTAGTTTTATGGCAAGATAGTGCGGATCTTTCAAATTGTGTATCCCTTTTTTTGTTGCCGTGAGAAAGAAGGGTTCTCCGTTTTTTTGTTGGCGTACTTGTTGCCATGAATGTAGCAAGAGCTGCTCAGAAGTGGCAACTGCGCAAGGGTATGGTTGTTGTTTGAATCCCAGCACATGTTAGCTTTGCTTCCACATGTGTGGGTCCTTGTGTCACGAATCCACCCCAATAATTGTTCAAGCTGTAAATTAGATTAAATTAGTGCTTTGTGAGATTTTGTGAGACTGTGAGTACTAATGCTGGACATACCTGCTTACAAGCTGCATATTATAGTTCTAAAATTCAGCGCCATTCATCATCCCATTTCTATCCATTTCTTCCCATCCTCCAGCGGACTCCAGCGCCATCCCAGGTGGTTGCCAGCAACTTTGCCGCGCAACGTGTGGCGGCGGCCTGTGGCTTTCGAGTGCTTTGTGTGCTACCCAGGTGGGGGCCTCCTGGATCTCCTGGGACGGCTAAGGTTTCCACAGTCATGGGGTTACCCCAAAATTGATGGTTGATTAAATGGATCATCCGTTTTTTTTAATGGATGAGTAGGGGTAGCCCTATTTTAGGAAACCTCCATATGGTGTTCATTGGTTTTCCAACTAATCCCCACAATGCTTGAATAAATCAACAACGGGCTCCACCATGCTTTTCAAAACCATGGCCAAAGCCAAATCTAATTTGCAACAATTATAGATATTATAAATAAATGTCATCGATATTGGCAAACCATCAGTTACTGTAACATATGCCAGTTTCTGGCTTCAACTTCCGGAAAAATATCACAGTCATTGGGATCATCATCCCAAACAAGCTTGAATATGTCAAAAAAATATCAGATACCACTAAATTTCTCTCACACACATTGGGAAAATGACATAAGTATAGCATTAAAATGCATTAGATACATTTAGATAATATGTTCTGGCTATATATATATATAGATAGATAGTATTACTAAAGATTGGCTCAATATTTGGTATGTGTCCAAATCCGCCATAAATTGGGGGTTGGAAGCACCAGCGGGGTTGGATCCACAAGGGCCTTCCAACATCCCGAGCGGGGCTTGGTGGACACGGTGCTGCTGTTCAATGACCTGAGCTGCGTCCGGACTCCGATGGGACGGTAATCTTGTCCCTTAAAGCAAATCCATCCAAATCCAATGAAACAAGTAGAGTCACACTTTGCAGCCCCATGGTTTCCTATGGTTTCCTCATGTTCCCATCCAATCGACACCAGCTGCTCCAAGGATAAAGGGTTGGTAGCACCAGTGCCACGGCGTTCGGTAGCAGCGGTAGCAAGCTGTGCCAGCCGCCCGTGCAGAGCTGAGGTGGTGAAAGTGGTGACGGAACGAAGAAAAATGGGAGTCTACCAACCACCTTGGGCATCTAATCAGGATATAAAGGATATCATGTGTATGTATAATTGTGTATATACTTATATATATATATTATTATATACATGTGGATATATAGTATTGGGATATAGGGTCAATGGGAATTTCAGGATCCTAAAATGGAGGTACCATACCATATAAGGCCATATTTTGTTCCTGAAATGACCATTGATAGGGGGAAAGATTCGGACAGCCAATCATACAATGCTTTCTGCGTGAACATCGTCCTTTCACCCCAGGTGCAGCCAGAGTCCCAGCCACGTCGCGGCCATTTCTGCCGTGGTTTCCGCAGGGTCTGAGGCAAACCTGCGGGATGACCCGGATGACCTGCAAGAATTAGGGAAGCTACCCTCAAACCCTGAAAATGGTGATGATTTACTCATTAAATATGGTGTTTTCAGGATGATTTACCCTCAAACCCTGGATTTACTCATTAACTATGGTGTTTTTCGCAGAACTCACATATAGCTATTGAAAATGGCCAAATCGTTGATTTACCCAGCTCTAAAATGGCTATTGTCCATAGTGATGTTGGTTTACCAGAGGGTAAACAGAAAAAAAAAGGGAATGACTGACCATGCCCCCAACCAGAAAATCGACCCTGCTTTCAATTCGCAGGCTCGAACTGACAACTTGGGGGATGGGTAAGTGCCATAGAAGCAACTTGATTGGGATATGTATGATATGTACCCAAATTCATGGCACATTTTCTAGCAGGGGTTGATGTTTTGAGGATATGATTCATTTTTTATGGGAAAGCTGGCCTTTTTGTTTGGTAGCCCTGGTAATTCCTCAACTCCTGGGATCGTCCCGTACTGCCTAGCACAGGGATGCCCCCCTGTACAATGGCGGATGATAGCGCCCCAAAAATCATGGTGAGTTGAAATCACCAGCCTGAAAAGATTGACATGTCCAAGAGTCATGGAATGCATGATGTTCGGGAAGTTGATTGGCACGCATTGATTGCACCATATTATATATACTTTATATCTGTATAAGATTGTATAAGCAGATTATCCATTGAAATTGTTGTTGCTTAGATCCACGGTTATCTAGGATTGTCTCAAAACTTAGAGCCCCAATCCTGTAAACCAATCCTGTCCGTCACTAGAACGAAAGGCAGAGGGCACACTACTAAAATCCCGGTAGCGAGTTTGGCCAGAGAGCCGCTGATTTTCAGCAAGTGGTGAGAAGGTGAGTGATTTTCAGACTCGGCATTTCAGTTGTCCAAATTCCCATGCAGGTGCACTTGCAGCCCTGTGGGGCTGATCCGAGAGGTGCAATGGAGTTGGTGGGGGCCATAAGCCCACGTATATTGCTACTAGTTTGGGGGGTAGATGGAAGTTGCAGTCTAGCTTCCTGCTAGGTGGGAGGGATAAACCAAAGATACTCTCCAAAGGATATTGTATGATTAGTTTGAACATCTTTGAAACACTTTGAAACCTGGTTTGGTGCTTCGCTTTCTGGAAAATCCCCGTTTTTCCAAGCGTGCCCCGATTGGCCAAGAGCAATGAGAAATTCATCGGGTTGGAGGGAAAAATTGCCGGAAAGCCGAGTGTTTACTGAAAAACACTTTGAGGTTTCCTGCCACTTTTGCCATCATCCAATTCTTGGGTAATTGTTCTCATTTTTATTTTTGGTAAGGAAAAAAAATAATTAAATGTAATCAATACATATAATTGCAATAATTGTATGATTCCTATATCCCCCCTCTATCAGAATTCATACCCCCAAGCCCAACCCGTTGGAAGATTTCAATACCTCCAACATCCTTCAACTGCCAACCGTTGGGCTCAGCAACGCCGAAGCAGTGACCCGATCCGCCAGCGTCCAGCGTCGGCATGTCGAACAATGCGCCCCGCGCGACACGGGCGGTGCTGCCGTCGCTACCGGAGCTGCAGAAGAAGCCGGTGAATCCACAGACAGACGCTGGGGTGGAATGGGGGTACAAACTGGAGTCTAATGTGCAATGGGGTGTGATAGGGGGTTAATTGAGTTTGACCAACAAACCCATTTAGATAGAATGGAGTGGTGTATGTTACCAACAATACGATATTGTGATGTGTCTGAAAATAGGGTTTACCACTTATTACTGGCTGTGCTGATAGGGGAAAACATGTTAATAGGTTGATTTGAGGTAAAGTCAAAAATTCAAACCCTGCAGATTCAGACGGGATGAATTTACCAACTGAAATGTTGATTTTGGTTGGCTTGGTGCGCCGACAGCGAGGATGGCTTGGAACTGTGCAAACAAGCCGTTGCTTTGCTGGTAGGCGCCTGGGCCGCAAAGATCAAAACCCCATGGTCAGCCAGAGGATATTCCTTTTGGAGAAGAACAAATACATTCTTCCTACCTATTTGTTTCACCATTTTTTGGGGTTTTGGTGCTTCCAAGAATGTTGTTTTAATTGTTTTAATTTTCTGCAAGATTTGCAAGCTCCACTGATGAAAAGACGCGGAAATTTATTCTACGCGTTTGATTCCACTGTTCCAACTTATTTATACCACATGCGTCCAAGAAGATCCTGAGTTTCAGCCGGTGTCCTGGTGTGGCCAGGTGACATGCGGGCAGAAATTCAGCAAGCAGTGGGATTGCTGAAAAGTGAAGCGGAAAACGCTACAGCTTCGAAGAATCCCCTGGCAACGAAGTTGCTGGGAGTGGCTGACAATCTGCAGAATGTTGAGAAGGACCTGGCTATCATATCCGGCTGGCAAGGGAGAGAGAAGAGAAGAAACAGCGTGTTTGTTTTGGTGAGGGGATGGCAAAGTTGAAAGCATGTGCCGATGATATTCATGGGCAAGATGACGATACAGAATGGGATTTGGGTTGTCCCAATTTTGAAACAGCCCCAATTCTAACTTGGCATTTGGGGTTCCAGTCCTTTGACGCCTCATTGGTTGCTGGTTTTGCTCGTGTTATTGATGGTTCGGTGGCAGTCAGCAGGATGTCACCCCAATGACGATCGTTTCAATTTAGGGCTGCATCTGCAACCAGCCACTCTTCAGTGCAGCCAATCTTCCAGGTCCCAAGGGATGCACAGCACAGGACGCTCTGGGCAAGATGCGTGAGTTGCTGACGCATTCCCATTGGGAGCTGGGTCAACGGTTGGATCAGCAGATGCAGGTGCCGTTTTGATCACCAGGGGGATTAACCAGCACCAAATGGCATTAATGGTCATGAGCATTGTGCTGACAATCATTTGGGGTTTAGATTTGGGGTGTGTCTCGAAATGTGGTATGCAGCCCGGGAGTTGGTTAAGAATCCGAAAGCTTGAGGCCCCTCAAATTCTTATTTTTAAATGCAGTCAAATTTCCACCACAATAGGTCGAGGGTCCCTCAAATTCTTAGAGCATTCTTAGTTCGAATTCTGTATTGTATGCATTTGCGCATTTTGGAGCGAGCTAAAGCGAGGTTTCGAGGTGGAGTTGGCAGATTTGACAAGAGACATACGAAAAACAATTTGTTTGAGACTGAACAATTGTTTTTTTGCAAAGCCGGGCTTGTCTGAGAAGCAGTGCGAAAAAAACATAGAGCCTGAAAAATTGTTTTTCTGCAAAGCCCGATTTCATCCCATAAGACCATAAGGGGTCACTCCACAAAAAAAATGCCACAAAGGGGAATTGCAAACTTCACGTATAAGCAATCATTTAAGAATTTGGCAATCCTATTTCAGGGTCCCTCAAATTCTCAAAGTACTATGCGCTTGGTATAGCTGAAAATATGTAGCCCGCCTTGGATTCGAGCCCCTCAAATTCTTATACAGTGAATTCTTATACAATACTCAAGTTGTATTCATGTATATCCCAACTTACGGCCATGTTCATCCATTACTCCGAAAAAAAGTTACAGCCTGTTATCACCATGGACAGCGTGGAGACCATCAGAGGTGTCCAAGTTATAGGTCCTTTGGGTTTCCGACAATGGTGCACCATACCTTGACCAGTGGGGATGTCTCCTTACAGCTTTGGTAAATATGTGGCTGAAATGAATAGGCACCTGTAACACTGTAGAAACGAGAGATTTAAATGCCAGGTTTTGGGCTGAACATGAGCCAGCATATTTTAGGGGTTGTTTCTATCAGTAACTAGACTCAGACCCCTCTCCTTGCACGGTTGATGTGGCTTGGTGGGTATACAAATAGCCCTTGACATCTCCAAAAATGCCACTTGAAATCTGCCAAAAACACCCCTTCACATCTCCAAAAATACCAATTGAAATCGTTCAAAAATACCCCCCTGACATCTCCAAAAATACACCTTCACATCTCAAAAATAACCTTGAAATCATCCAAGAATACATTTGACACCAAGCCTGTACATCTGCAGATATTTTTGATTTTGATATATTTCTATTGGAATAAGTTTGGCTTCAAACATACCTCAACCTTTGGGGTATGTTTGAGATATGTTGGATTATATATATATATTCGATCCAAAAATAAACCTGGGTTGGGTATTTTTGGGGTATTTGTTTGAAGCCAAAAATGTTCCAAAGGTTTGGGTGTTTTTCACAAATACCACAAGGCGTATTGCTTGCACTTTTAGCAGCTATTAGCACGCATTTGGGCCAAATATACCCCTTGGGGGATTTTGAAAAATATTTCAACTTTTGGGCGAATTTTGGGCCCAAACATATTTCAACCTTGGGGCATTTTGGGCTCCAAAAATACCTCAAATTATCACAAGAATACCCGTGAGTTTTGCTTCCTAAATCATCAGGCTTCCGGGCCACTTGTTGGCTCTCAATTCATCAAGGATTGGCAAAGGTTTGTAAAGGTTTGGTTGATGTGTGGGATTTCTCTAACAATCTCCAAAGAGTTGCTGTTACAGGCAATGCCTAAACCATCCTAAACCATATTGTTTGGTTGACCACGTTGACCGCTTCATTTTTTCCCACATTTTTTCCCTACCCGAGAGCATGTGCTCTTCCATGACTCATACCATACGCCGGGGGGTTCAACCAGGGGCGTGGGATGTACTCCAGAATGCCCCTGGTTTATCATAGCTTTCCCCGCAATATTGCCATAACTTGGCACCACCCGTTTGAAAACAAGACTACACCCTAAAATAATTGCTGGCTGCATCTTTGTATTCCCAGCCATCCCAAGTTCAATTTGAATAACCCAAGATGCACGGTACTGGCAATGCAATGCCATTGTTTGTCGCTTGTTGGTGGTTCATGTCCCCATGTGATCCAGATTAACCACCAGAGCGATGAATACGAGTCCACCAATATTTGAGCACGTTTGTCACTCAGATGGATACTACATAGTTACCACCAACATCCAGGAATAGATAATATTCTAGCGATAATTCGTATTGATATGTATTAATAGCCGACAATATCCCCATATATAGTTGGATAATAATGGATAATATAATTCACAACAATAACAGACATGTCCAAGGTGTTGTGGATACTATCCCCATATTCGACCACTCGTTCACTGATGGTTTAGGTTGGTGGTTTGAATACTTTGAGATTGATTCCCAATCAGATTTGGATGGTAAAGCCATATGATTTGCTTCTAGAGCCAATCCCTTAACCCAGTGAGCCATTGGTTCATCACCATAAAAAGTGGATTTCCTGATGTTTAGGAATGATTCCCGTATTAATTCCCGCATTTTTTCTTCCCTTCTTGTTGGGCGTTTTCAGAATCCATCCGCAAAACGGCGCCTTCTGTCGCCAGGTCAACGCTCTCATGAGCGACCACCTGGGTGCCTCCCGGGATCTGACGGTGGATACTGTGCAGCGGATCGAACAGTCCATGAAGCGAGCCTTGGTGAAGTTTTGGTGGTTAATAGTGGTTAATAGTGGTTAATAGGCTATAAACCAACAATGGGAATATGATGATCATTGATGATCTATACTGATTGCTGGCGACTGGAACATGACTGGATGATTTTATTCCATTTCATGATTATGGGATAGTCCATGGATAATCCATCTCCCATTGACTAATAATCTAATATTTTTCAAGATAATTTTTCAACCACCAACCAGGGTTTTATATGGTATATATCATTCATATCCCAGTATTAACCACTATTAACCATCATTAACCACTATGTAAGCTGCAAAAACATCCAACCAAAAACCGATGCTCGAGCTGGGCCTGCGCCGTTCTTCCCAGGCCTGGAGGTCAACATGACGCGAGAGTACGGAGAGCTCCGCAGTGAATTGGGGAAGGTGAAGGACTGGGCTGGTGATGTCAATACCCTCTGGTTATGTCAACAGTTTGCTATTGAAAATGACCATTTATAGTGGATTTTCCCATTCAAAATGGTGATTTTCCATAGTTATGTTAGTTTACCGGAGGGTAATCCAGATGGGTCACAAGATATCACAAGGTCAAGAACTGGACATCCTCATACATCCTCCATGCGGCATGAGATTCTAAAATGTCTAAAGCGCTGACCGACCCAGCTCTTCTCTCCATGTCCCTCCGGTTTGTTGAGATATGGGGCCCTTAAACTTCCCAAACTGGCAATTTTAGTGGGAAATGATGATCAACCAATGGAAAACCACTGGATGGGTTGCAATTTTCAGACTCGTCGGAACCCTGATGATATCAGCCACAGGAGATCGTCGTTGGAGTCTCCGCACAGGTTGACAGCGAATCGCAAGCAGTGCCTGGAATGCAAACCCCTATGACCGGCCCTATCCGGCCCTCAAACTTACAAGCCCAGCAGTAGGTAAATATGAAACGTGAATGAACACTAAATGGCCAAGTCAGGTGTGTTTTCCAACAACATTGGCACAGACCTCAACAGCAAGCCTCCTACGCCTACGCAACAATCCATGATTCCAGTTTGTATATTTTTTTTAACAACTCAGGGGTCTAGGTTACCCACAGACACGCATTTTTTGTTTGCTTCCAAATTCCCAGCATTTGAAGATTCAAAATGTTCCAAAATGGAACCCCAACAAGTCCTGACATGAATGCACTCGACAGCGGGTAGGCGTCAGCAGTTTACAGGTATAGGCATAGGTTGATTAGATTATAGCAGTTTGCTGCAACACACAATTCCAGTCATGGAAGTTAGCTGCATTCAATACAATTCCACTCTGACCCCCTACAAGTTAAAGACTCCGTAAAGTAGATTGAGGTCACAAAATGTGTTCTTTCAAACTAGAGACCGAACATCAGCCGGTTCAGCATGGCTTTCCCAAGGGTTTCCCCCGACCGTTTCGTTCAGCTCGAGGTCCAAAGCCACAGCCAGCAGCAGACCTCGGACCTCGAGGGTCGCTTTCTGCAGCAGCTCAGCAGCGTGCGGTCGGAGGTGGATGCGCAGATCACGGGAAGTTCCGAGAAGTTGCTCGGTGCCTTGGGACGGCTGCAGGATGAGACCTTGAGAGGCAATGAAGGCATCACCACGAGCCTGGGCATCAATGATCAAGGGGGTGATACATCATGAGTTATGACAATTAATTATATAATTGATATATTGATTATATATATATATGTGTGTGTGTTTGTGTGTCATTATATGATGTGTATTGGTTTGTTTGTTGGGCAAGTTCGCAAGAAATTGGGGAGGCACAGAAATTGAAGTGGTAGGGCTGGTAGGTTTTGGTAGCGGAGATGTCCTATGCAAGGGATCTTTACGTCTCTGTCGTCTTGATGGTTTCCTGTTTGCATGGTGCGTTCTCAAAGCTCCATGACGCTCCATGACGCTCCATGACTTGTATGTGATTCATTAAGCTTGCTTTTAGTTTCCAGATTTGTTCTGGAAATAATATTCTAATCATTTTGATTCATTTTGTATACTGTATACTCTTGGTATGTTTGGCAATCTTATGTAGCTATGGGCAATCCCAGAAGTGTAGATGACTTACCTGTTGCAAAATTGCGTTTTCCATTGCCAGGTTGCAGGAAGGCATCAACACACCTCGACTAGGCCTCCCCTGGTATACAATGCTTGTCCTATAGATCATCTTATAGATCCCTACAGTGGATTAATATCGCCGGATCATGCGTATGACGCAAAAGGTACAGATTGGGATTGGGTACGTATCCAGCTATGCCAGCAAATATCCACAGATATCCACAGTTTCATGTGTATATATAATATATGTGTATATTTATATATATATATATACATCACAGCCGAATACATGCCCAGGTGATGCATCCTAACGAACGGCCTGATAGATTTTCCCCGTGCATCACCAGCCCAGGATCATCAGTATGGAGAAACAGCTGAAATCCATCGCGGACAAAATCACCACTGAAGTCTCCATCTTGCAACAGCAAGATGACCAGCACTACGTGGCTTTGCCAGTGAAATATTTATGACATATTGGAACACACAAAATTAGATCGAAAATCGACAAATGTGTTATCCAGATTGATTTCATCCCTCAATCTCTACTTTCATATGATTTCCATACTATTGATTCCCCCAGATTGATTTCATCCAGAGGATGTTCATCTTTGTTCGTCAGAACCTTTTGGTACAGGTGGGCCTAAACGAGTCGTTTGACATCAAGATTGCGAAGCAGGTGCAGGGAGGGATAATATGTACACAGATTATGTAGTCAATAATATTAAAACCAATATATTATATTCATGTAATGTTTGTCATGTCCTCCACAGTGTGAATAATAATGATAATGATCATAAACTTGTATATTCATATAAACCACTAGTGTATTTTTGTAATATCGTCCATAGTGGGAGGTAATGGTATTATATTTAATAGTGGTTTACTTGATTTTAACCCACCAGAACTTTGGAATGGGGAAGTGGGGATGTAAGGCATGGGAATCCCCTCCCATTGAGGTGACCTTTTCGTTCCATGTTTGATGAAAGAGATGGTGATCTTGCCCTGGTAAAGATTCGTGTTTGCAGTTTTTTGAATCCACATGTTCAATGATCAAAGCATATCAGGATCCCAATGTTTCATGCTTCATAATCAACACGTTTTATGGTTAAGATCCAACTGTTCAAAGCTAAACGTCCCCAAATTGTTGATGCTTAAAGTGCTTTAACTTCCCATTCTTCATGGTTTTCATATGTTTTCATATGTTTTCATGGGGCATTCGTATGAATTCATGAGTTTTGCCGCGTTAAAAGGACTGCATTGGACAGGAGCAGCAGCTTGTGGCCCTGGTCCAGCATTCCGAGAGCACGCTCTCGCTGCCGCAGGATGTGAACCGATTGAGGCGGAAGGTGCAGCATGGCGCAGCGCGTAGCCAGCAGGATGGGGAAAGCATGGTAAAGCCAAGAATAGTGGTTACTAATGGTGAATAAGGAGATGGCGATGGAGAGAGAGAACTGGTGAATAAGGGTTTGTGATGAGGTTTGTGAAGGGTTGATAATGGTTGATAATTTACAAATGGTTGATTTTCACTAACAATTATAAACCACCCTATTGATGAACCATGACGCGGGTTCATTTTACATCACCCCAAGTAGGGGTATACCATGGTATACCTACTATATATAATAAGCCCTGGGACGGGTACTTAGGTGAGTTTAGTACGACTGAATTCTTTTGCCACTATATAAAAAATGGGGAATGTATACAAACCAGCCTAACCAGCCCCACAAAAGGTAGGCTATCTGAGATTGGGAATGGTCAATGATGGCAAGTTTTCGGAGAAGGTGCCCAGATGGATGAGATATGGCGTGCCCAGATGGGAACTAGTTGAGAATCATGGTCAGTTCATCCACTTAGATGTGATATTGTATGATAGCACAGTAAGGATTATATGCAAAACTATGATATTACATTATATGGTAATATCTTAGGACAATGTCACCTTGGATATGGTGTGATATGATAATATCTTCGAAGAATTCCAGGACTTTGGGACAAAGGTAGTGCGCAGGCCGGCCATCAGCGGGCCAACGTCCAAGTGTAAGGGATGAAGCTTTCCTCTGTTTGAATGAGCATTTGCAGAGATGTGAGGTGTACTTCAGAGCCTTTACTATTGGGGGAGGGTCCTAATACTGGTTTATTAAGGATTTATAACTTATAACGGTTAATTTAAATTATTAAGATGTTCACACCCTATTTGGAGAAAGGTCCTAAATGCTGATCCCACTGAGTTTAGGGTGTTCACTGGCCTATGGCCTCCCCCAAAGGCTCCCAGACTGTCTTTCTACTGGAAGTGCCGATCCAATGTGGGTATAACAATGCCATAAACCATCCACCAGTCATGAGACCATTCCCAGTCATGGGTGGTTTATGGCATTGTTTCACCCACCAAAAATCAACTTTAAGTCCAAAACCCTGTCATGTGCAGTGGCCTTTTTTCCCATTCAGCCATGAATTGTCCAAGATGTTTCCCTAAGTTCATCCCATCAAGCCATATGGGTGGCTGTCATAGGCTACTTTTAAAATCCATTTGGTGAATCATCATTGAATAGCCCGGCTTTCCCTAGTGTTTCATAGCCACAAATGGGGGTTAATCCATGTTATTATATGTTATTATACCCCCAATTTTAGACATCCAGGTTTCAACTCTCCCAATTTTGGCCTGTCTGTGTAGGTGAACGAAGACGTGCGCCTGGTGTTGGCTGAGATTACCCGGGTGCAGAAGGCGTTGCAGGTGGATTACCTGCCGCCCACCAAGGGCATGCGCTCAGGAGCCATGCTGCGGCTGAGGTGGAAAGAAATGGATGAAAAATGGTTCGAAAACATGCGGCAAGACATGGAAAAGCTTCAGTTTACCATTGTAATTTAATAGGAATGTACTGTAGATGTGGTTCTATAAGGTTCTATAAGGTTCTATATGTTTCTTGGTGGCTTCACAGATTCTCTCTGCCTGTGACTCGCATCAGGAAGCCGAAAGTTGAGTGACCCGCATCGAGACCCTCATCGGCGGGGCTCCAGAGACGAGACGGATAAAGACACGCAGAAAGCAGTCGCTCAATTGAGATGGGGCGAGTTCTTGCCAGAGTTTTTGGGGAACCTTAAAGTGGTTGGGAATCCGATGACGATGATGATGATGATGATGATGATGAATGACAACGACGATAATAGGAACAATGATAACAGTTTAGAAAGAGAGAGAGAGAGAAGGAGAGAGAGAGAGAGAGGAAAAAAACAAGTTATAATGATGATTATAACAGTAATAAGTATTTAATAGTAAATTTAATCTTAGTTTTCATCTCATGAAATGACCCTGATCGACCGACCATGAAATGACCATCAAATGCCCATCTAAACGCATCAAATGATCATCAAACCATTGTCAAGAATATCCACCAACATGGGTTGGTTTGAACACTTGAAAACAGACACAACTTCCCCATGGATGATCATGATTTTTTCTTTTTTTCCGAAATGGGACGAACTTGGGGCATCCAAACATGTATAAAACTATCCATAGTGGTCCATAGTATCCAAGCATCCCATCCCAACCATGGAGGCCACAGTGGCCATCGTGCAACTGGCTGAACCGCTGGACCGCGCCAAGCCGGGCTCGAACGGCTCAACGAATGGCTTGAGCTCGCAAACGAGCGCAGATGCCTGGACAATAAACATATTTTCAGCGGACCTAGTCTGAAGGCGATGGAGAGAGAGAGAGAGAGAGAGAGAGAGATATATATACACTATACATATTATAGCTATTTTTATTGTTATTATAACTACAGGTATTTGTTTTCGTTTTTTAGCACTTAAACGAGAAATGTGCCACAGGGTATCCAAGATTAGCCATGTGATTCACGTGCATGCTTTTGGGGAAGAAACATGAAAAAAACTATGGGAAGCGGAAATCCCCCTGTTTCATTGGGTTGGTTTAAGGGAGAAACCACAGGAAACCATGGATATCTGCAGTAAATCTGCAAGGTGGAAAAGTAGACTTTCCCTTCAACCATTTTCCTGCATTTGGATACTTTTGAGACCGTTCCATGAATGAGACCAACTCAACCATATATATATATGTATATATATTATCTACAGTATATTTGTTTTGCGTTCAGATGTGTATCTGGGGAGTCTATGTCTGATAACTCGCCAGCTTCGTCCCGAGGACTTCAAGGACTTCAAGGAGAACGTCAAGCTGCCGCCGCCGAAGACCTCGAAGTTCGCCCGCCTGGCGCAGCAGGCGAGCGCCGCCTCACGGGCCGCTGACCTTGAAGCGGATCTGTTGGACGATGCGCCCGACTCCTCGGAGCTCGGTGGGACCATGGTTGGGGCCATGGTGCCATGGTTGGGGCGGGCCGGGGCCAAGAAACATGGAAAGTCACCTCAGTTCAAGGATGTACGGATATCATGGAAAGAGTTTTTAACAGAATCAACCAAACAGTTTTTCCTATGGCCATGGCATTGTGATTTTTTCAAGGTCATGGCCCTTGAGCTTCCACACCTTCACAGACACGGGTTTGTTTGATATCTATCTTAAAACACCTGAGAATTCACCGGTTTATCATCAGTTTCCCCATCCAAGTGGCAATACATTGAGAGTAAAGACCTGATTTTTGGACTTCCAGAATCGATATGAAGATACATGAAGTTTATCTTCATTCATCAGCCCATGTTTTGCAGACTTTCACTCAGCAGAATGTGGCTCGACTGCCCAGGAGGCTGAGAAACGCTTTCGAGACTTTGGGATCCAAGCAGAGGCACCGTTGACCATTGGTCGACTTACCGATGTGAGTCCCAATATCATCAATATCCAAGAGTGATTGAATCGGGAACCTATGGACAGTACAAAATCACCATATTTTTGTTGGATGATGTTGGGTGATCAAATGACATCAAGTTGATAAGTTTGAACTACTGCCGTTTGCCGAAGCTTGAGTTCACATAAGTCCCCATTAGGCGCCAGTGGGGCCCCTTGAAAGTGGGCAGAGGCTGTCATAGCCACAACTGCTCTGTCGGCCGATTCTCCAGGCACTGACGAAAGACAATGCGTCGCAGACGGATGCATCATGGAATGAGTTGGCAATGGAAAAACTGAGACAAGAAAAGAAAAAGAAGAAGAAGGCTGCGAATACCAAAGAGGACGCGAGCTGGGGAAGATGAATGAAAACAAATCAAATGCATTTGAACATGATGGTTGTATCTTGGTTGTGGTTTCTTTATATCCGCACTGTGTGTGTTGAGTCGTGCTTACCACCTGTCACAGACCTGGCCTTGCAGCGAAAATCTCAGGAGGTGGTGAATCAGCAGAGAAGTCGTGCTGCGAACCTCACACCCATCGACAAGTTGAAGGAGAAAGCAACTGCCGCTGCCATGAAGAAGCAGTACAACGTCTTTGACTACTACAGGCACAGCAAGTGACAGTATACCCTTGGTATCCCTGGTTATTCAACATAGCCATGGAAAAAGACCCGTTTGTATATGATTTTAGGGAGAGATGATTTAACCATGATTTAAACATAGTATAGACATTGCCATTTTCCATGGCTCTGCTGGATGACCGCAGGGATATGAGGAACGAAGATATAAAGAGTGTCTTCTGTATGGCTGCGAGCAGCAGCTTCGAGATGTTGTTTTCTCCACCCTGTTTGATTTGTTCAGAGCTATTATTTCATGATCACTTTTCTTCAATTCCACCTGTTTGGACGGTTCTGGTGGACACCCTTCAAAAGAACATTGCGCGACAAAGTCCCAAAGCATGGTCCAAACATTCGAGTTTTCCATAGTTTTCCACTCATCCTTTTTTTCCGTCACAGGGACGAAGGATGTGCGCAGCGCATCGCACGGCATCCTTTCTTCGACAATCTCACCATCTTGGTGGTCATGGCCAACTCAGTGTGGCTCGGGGTGGATGCTGATCTGAACCAGGCTGGGGAACAGCGCAGGATACCCTCTGGTTATTTAACATAGCCATGGAACATAGCCCATTTATAGATGTTTTTCCCATTAAAACCTCCATTTCTAAGGGATTTTCCATGGCTATGTTAGTCATAACCAGATGGTATCATCATTATCATCCTTCTGTGGGTTGGCTAGGAGCTAGGAGCCTGAGCGCTCTGGGGATCTGGAACCGATCTGTTGGTGCTTGGTGGATGGATGGTGGCCCCTTCCATTGCTGGTCCAAGCTTCCCCATCCTAGCCAGTTGTGAGGGGGCCCGGTGCGGGAAGAGCTACAATCATTGGTGACCAGTGTGCACTCGATACAAAATATGGTTAAGAGTGTGCCTTAATTATACAGGGTTGTCCCTCAACAGCAAGGCTGCTTGGTGATTCTGCCATACTACTTGAACCTTGATGATCTTGAGGCCCCATGCTTTCCAGAGGTGTCAAGCTAAGGGAAATCCGGAAGATTTTCGCAGGAGGCAATCCTGTTCAATGCCCATCCTGCCATCATCGTTGGAGAGAACTTCTTCTGTGTGTACTTCACGCTGGAGATCATCATTCGCTTCATGGCTTTTCAGCGGAAGCTCAATGCCTTCAAGGACTTCTGGCTGCTTGGCTTGAAGGCGGCTTCAACGCAGCATGTTTTCCGAGTGGTGTGGGTAGCTGGAAGCCTGAGGAAAACTGATTACAAAGTGGATCAAAGTAGGCAGATGAATGTGCAGACGAACTATTACAAAAAGAAATAGTGCCAGCTTTGAATTCCAACCATGTTTGTGAGGGGTGGGCAGTGGGCAGGTGTTGATAAGAAATGTCATTTGCTGGGTTTAGATTGTTGTTGGGTATCCTACCAATTCCTACCATGTCAATCCATGTCATACCTCTACTTATCCTAATTGTTAGATCCTCAAATCTGACGTGGATGACCGGTCATGATCCGCACATTTTCTCGTGCGGGTCCTCGATTCATTGATGCCATATGGCCACAGGGTTCAGATTCCCATGATCACCTTTTCATGGCACAAAATCCTCAATTTTCTCAGGCTTGCTCCAAACTATTGCAGATACATGAGAGCCACAAGGGCGTAAATTGCTAAGTTGACTTTCCTCCCCCAGGTACCATTCTTGTACCTGGGGTGGGAGAGAGCAACGTGGAGCAACCTGTTTCTGCCAAGGTTCAATTTTGATTGCTTCTTGGCCATCCTAATCATCGTAGAGACCTGGGTCACACCCGTGATGTTGCTGGCGGCTGGCGGCTCTAGTGGTTTCTGAGCACTGAAGCCGGGGAGGGGCTCAGAATCACTGCGGTTTCAGCCTGGTTTCTTTGTAGATTGCTGGGCCATGTTTTGCTGATGGAAACCGGATGCTGGTGATGCTGGGCGTAAATCCAAATGTTGTTCCATCCACTGGGCTCGGAAGTTTCATGCTGTAGCCTTTGGCTTGGGATTTCAGCAGTGCATGTTCCGATGTGTACGAAAAACATTCTCCACCACATTTGACCAAAGATCCGTTGATCAACAACAAAAGAATACCCGGAACATTCCACGAATCTTCCAATGTGATTTGAGTTTCCCATATATATTTTCCCACGACTTTTCCCAAATTTCGAGGTGACTTTCCAGGTCACCTAAAGTTTTCCAAACAGTAACCCTCTGGTAATATTTAACATAACTATAGAAAATCACCATTTTCAATGGGAAAATTCACTATTTGTATGGTCATTTTCAATAGCTATGTTGACATAACCAGAGGGTACCCCTGCCAGCGCCAAGGTCTACCGGAGGGGACGGTGCTGTTGCGCCTCATCCGTTTGGTTCGCCTGGTGAGGCTCACCCGGCTCACCAGATTGTTGCCCCTTGGACGGTGAGAAGCAACAAAGATGGGTGTTTAAGCAGCAAACATTACATATTATATATACAGTGTGTATATATATATATATACACATGCATAAATACATTAGATATATTATATGATACTATCTATCATACTATTATTTTTATGTTTATTTTTAGTTATTATTATATATTATATGTAATTATTATAGATTGCTGATTAACCAACAAATGGAACACGGGTTGAAGCAACAAAAATCAACAAAAGTTGGGTTTCAACTCAGCAAAACATGGCAAAGAACGCGGTGAAGCCGGCCTTAAATGGGGCGATCTTCGGCTCTAAGGCGATCCTTCCCAGAGTTGATGATCATCGTGAAAGGTTTGACCTTCGCGGCCAGATCTGTCTGTGTTTTCTCCCTGCTGTGGTTTATCATCACTTATGCCTTCGCCATTATTCTGAGACAGCTCACAGAGGCAGTGGAGTGGGGTCGAACCCAGGACTTGTTCATTGGTTCCACTTGACCTTCAAATTATCCAGGATACCTAGGCGGGTGATGGTGAGTTGGGGTCTGTAATGGTCTGTATGCGAAAGTGAGTAGCCAGGCACATCCATGCCAGGAAGCCAGGTTCACTTATCCACTTGCTTGTTAGCACTAAATGCCACTGCTTATCTCATTTCAATATACTTTGTTTCTTTTTTATTCACTATCATACTGTATTGTTGTCTCCAGCCCTTGGCTACTCCAATTCCCACCGGAGAGCTGGGCACAGGGCTCAAGTATCGGTGATGCATTTTTCAAATCAGTGCCCGAGTCCATCAACAGCTTGTGCTTCGGGCGCGAAATTTCGGGGGAGACCTGGGACATTTCGGGCCAAAAAAATCATGGAGAGATCCAGTAGCGAACCCGGCTTTCTATAGTGTTTTTTGATGTTAATTGTTTATGTGTTTGATTTCATGGGCCATGGGGGGTGAGGGGGGTTCCATGGCTATCCTATTTGAAAACATGTTCGGGGGTTGGCTTCTATATTATACAAAATGATAGTCACTTGCAGATGTAACGCCCATTGAGAGACTGAACTGTTATGAGCCGTCAAAAGGAAAGACATCTATATAATTGGAATATCCACCCAGTTCGGAAACGTGATAAACTACATGACTCATGACATGACAGAACACAACATCATATAACATATCATGATATAGCATACTGTGGCTAACATCAACATGACACAACTCAATACAACGTGATAGTCACATGACACAACATACATAACACAACATGACATAACACAACACAGCACAACATCAGCTATAACATATTTGTTGTACATGTGACAAAACACCAGATAACACAACAGAACATAACATGACATGACACAAAATAAAACAACACACATAACACAATGCAACACAACATAAGATAACATACTGTGATTATAGCCAGCAGAGTAATTTTAGCCATGGCTACCAAGAAGCTACGAACACCTTGTCATGCCTTACTGTTGCTTTGAAGTTGACGATCAGATGCAACCAAATGCTCACCTTTGGCCAGGAACGGAACGGACTAGAAACTCAAGAGGAGGAAGATAATTCTATATTAGATTATTAGATATTCACTCTTTGGATGATCAATGATAATCACTAGAACCTATTATCAATTTTAAGATATGTTATCATATTGATTATTCATGTATACAACATACATACATACATATACATATATATATATATATCAGTTTTATCAATTTGGAGCTGACACTCGGGCACGTCATTGAACCGGCTTCTTCCACGAAATGTGACCCGGCAAAATAAATCAAGATAACACTTTCGCATGTTCTGTGCAGGGTCTGTGCGATAACTGCATCCCTTCCCCTGTGCCAACGGACGCATGCGTCCGCCCAGGTTGTTACCTGCAGTCTTCGGAGCAAATGCTGACGTGATCAACTCCATCACAGTTGCTGTTCATCCCCACATGACTTGCGTTAAGCGTTTAGCCTAAACGGTAAACGTTTACAGTTTGCGAAGTGGAAAATCATCATTTTGAATAGCTAAATCAACTCTTTCTATGTGCCACTTTCAATAGCGAACTGCAACAAATTACCAGAGGGTCATATCCCATGAAAAGTGGATTACAATCCCATGAAAAATCACCATGAAAAATCACCATGAAAAACCCATTAAACCCCACTAAAATAGACCAGAGGACTACTTGGTGCTCTGGTCTGATGGCTGCCCCAGGTTGGGAATCCTGGGTTGTGGCCCATCATGGTCTTTTTCATGGCCTTGGTCTCAGTCACGATCATGCTCCCTGGCGCAACGCGCAAACAACGGTGGTTACACCGTGAAGATTCCAGCATTGAAACACTGATTATACATGGTTATACCGCAAGTTATGAAAAATGGGCATAGATTTCATAGAGAAAAACACTTTCTACTGGCTGGAATTTGGTCCATGTCCATTTTGAGAAAGCCACGGCTGGAAAGTTTTGAGTCTGTGTATGTATGAGTGCCCCGAGCTGGCATAACCCTATTTCATCCCGATTCCTTTTTCCCTCTTCATATTCCCTCATATGGTCGCAAAAATGAATGATCCAGTACTACAGCATACTGAAGCAGAATTTCTGGCGTTGTATTTGGCATTGGTGGATGGAGTGATTGGTTTGTGGCCACTGGTAACCCCCCAGTCACCTGTGTGTAGTAGTGGGTCTCTTCATTTGACATTTGAAGGTTTCCTAACATGCGGGTACCCTAAATCATCCACGTCATCAGACCATGACATGACTTAGTAATTATTCAAACAACCATGACTTAAGAAACCCCCATTTGAGTCATTTATCTCGTCTTTCTTGGGGACGAGATTTTCTGGGGATTCCCGGGGAGTTCTCCTGGACAGCCAGGTATATGCTCCTGGGCGTTTTGGTGGATGTCATTGGAGCTGTAGCCTCCACCGAGAAGCAAAAGATCGAGATCACCTTCATTGCAGCTGGGGTAACTGACCCAACCATTCCTCCAACCATTGGGGCCCAATACATGGCGATATCATGGCGATCTTGGTGGAGAATATGATTATGAACCATTGGGAGTTTGGTGGTTTACACAAAACGATCATACAAACTGATTTTTCATACGGATACAGCAATCCTTGATTTTTTTTGTGCTGCCCCAGTGTCCCAACACATGGATGAGCAGAAATAGCCTTAGTTGAATTGGTGGATGCATGTTTTAAAATGTGTTATCACATATATATATATACATACGCATTTGTCATCACTCATCATATGTATGTGTATGCATATGCATATACATACAACATATATCTCAAGATTTGGGGCAGTTCCAACCTCTTATGTGGTGAGTGTTGCTAAAATCATTCTTAGATTCATCCGAGGTGGGACAGCTTAGGGAAGAGCTTGAGAAGCTGAACATCATCCCGGAGGCTATGGAGCTGAACCAGGTGCCATGGCCAATGCTCCACAAGTTCCTAATGCTCCACATATAACATACATATAGCAGCTACAGTATATATTTACATTTATATTTACCTCATTTTACCCACATTGGCTTCGTAAGCATATCTTAAATGTTGTTCTAAACGTTCCATGGGGCACAGAAGAAAACTACATCCACCGTGCAGGTTGACTTTCAGAAGCTCGTCCTGGAGCCGGGGATTGTCCGTGTCATGCACGAGTCCGGCGTGAACGTGGCTCGCTGACACCGCATCCCCCAAAGGTGACCCCACCAACGAATAGCTGGTTCATAACCATCTATTAACCATGGTATATAAACATTGGTTAATAGCTGCTGAATAGTTGGTTGATAGTTTTTCTTAGTCATTTTTCATAGTGAATAGATGTTATTTTCAAGCTCCAAGAAAAATGTTTCATCCCCAATTCCAACAGGATCAATCCCAGGGAGATTTGCTCCTAACTGGCTTCTTTGGGTTTACCAACGGGCTCTGTATACAGCAAGTTACTTTGTTCAGTCAGTGAGGTTGCCATGAAAGTGAGGAAGTGAAGTGATATGATGTTTATGGAATTGTAATGCTCTTGCTGCTAGTGTTTCGAATGTTTCGCTTCCAACCTTGAGGGTTGATTGAATAATCAAGTGCAATGGGTTCATCTCCAGCCATTCAATGTACAACTGTTTCAGGGTCTAGATTGACGGATGCCCTTTTTTCCGCATGTTTGAACAGTTTCAATTCTCTGACGGTGAGGTAGAGGTGTTGGCCGAAATGTTGGACCTAGTCTGGGAAGATGCTGCTGCTCGGTCGGGGGCGGGATGGTGTGGGCAGTTACGGCATGGAAGCAGCGAAAATTGGACCCGGATATTGATTATATTATACATATATATATAATTAGAGATTCAATAGATTTGAATTGAAGATAAATAGATTGATTGGATTATGTTTAAGTCTAGTAGTATGCCAGTAGTATGTACATATACGAGATTGCCTGGAGAATTTGCGGTGTGCCTTGTCTGGAGTGTGGAACAGCAAGGCGAAACCTCATGTGGCCTCCGTAGTAATCAAAGACATTCTGGACATGTTTGATTCGGCAAATCCCAAGATGTATACACAGTATGGCCCCATATGTCCATGTTTAATTTCAAATAAAACCCTTCAACACTTGGAATGGAAATCAGACTTCACCCTTGTCCAGGATCCCCAACCCTCACATTTTTTTTTGCCCACAAGGCCCAATGGCGACCCAGGCGAAGACCTCGCAGAACATCACCTTCTCCGATTTGGTGAACATGGTCCTGGGAATGCGGGGCTCCAACCCTGCCACGGTGAAGGATTGTCACTTGGCGGGTGGCAGGAACTTGGTGATCTCGGGATACTTCAAGAAAGGGGGGACTATTGGATATGGAAGGAGCTTGCCGATATGGTGTATTTATATTGTATATATATATATACATATATGTGAGTGTCTGTGTGTGTGTGCGCGTTTGTTTATTTTTATTCATTTATTTGTTTGTTTATTTATTTGTTTTTTTTTGATGATCATTTTTATTATCTTAGTTATTTAATATATATTATGTCACCATGTTTACATGATGTTATCTGCGTATCATACCAATCATGCGGGTGGGTGTCAAGAAACATGATGTTTGGCACATGATTGCGCCTGAAAATTGGATGGTTTTACCACTGGTCCCACCACTGGTGTCCCAAATTGGGACCCATTTGAGTTGAGCCTTAGCCATTTACCCTCTGGTAATTTAACATAGTTATTGAAAATGAGCATTTATAGTGGATTTTCCCATGAAAAATGGTGATTTTCCATAGTTACGTTAGTTTACCAGAGGGTATCCTATGAATTTCCATGTGCATGTCCATTATTTTCATCTTCGCCAGACGTGCCCCCCCCCATGAGCCGGGCACGGAGCTTCATGAAATAACGTACCAGGCACCATCATAGAGTCATAGAAGACACCATTGATGTTGAAGGAGATTCTCTCGTGTATGTGCTTAACATATTATAGATATTCTATTGGCAGTCAGAAATACGTTTTATTTTCCATCCGACCTAGAGGCATGCCCGCAGCGACCCAAGATTTGGAGACCAGTTGAAATCATGAACCAGATATGTTAACCATGTGCAGATATGTTACCCTCTGGTCATCAACTATGGTCTGCTAGGAACCCCCCTATGTTTTTCCATGATTTTCTCATCGATGCCGATTGTTTTTTTTCTGAGATTTCGCAGCGACCCGCCAAGTTTGATGACAAAGGAGGGTATTTGTTCATCAATATCCCATTCATCACCATTCATCCCGTGATTATCCCTATCAAACATGATTGAGCCAGGTATTTTTACATATTAACCTTCTGAAATTCGAACCTTTTGCTGAGGCAAGGAGCAGATCCGGGTCACCAACAGTTTGATCAAACGCTGCTTCGGCGATTTGTACGACGAATTGGATGAGAAATTCCAGCGCCTCGATGCAGAGCCGGGAGATTCCTAGGGAGTAGACTACCATGGAATAAAATACGTACTGGTTGATCATGGGTTGATAATGGTATCATAAGCTATTAATGGTGGATGATAATTTGGTTGATAATCATTTGATGATCAGATAAATGGATATATATATATATATTATATATATGCGGGTTATTGGGTTATTTGATGATTGATAATGATGAATCCTGTCCCCCCAATATTGAATAACCCCCAATCCTGGACCCCCAATTCATGACTAGATCCACTACGAAGTCCTGAAGTTCGGATTGGGGGTCCATATGGGGACGGATAGTGCCATCAAGTCCCCTCCAAGGTGGAACAGCTGTGTCTTGAAAGTGGGGGTTTGGAAGTTCCAACCTGAAAGGGCTCCAGTAACCGCCACACTGAAAAATTGTCCGGGGTACGAGATCGGAAGTGTGCATTGTGGTACCAGGTACGAATCGTTTTATCTCTCACTTCCAGTGAAATGGATGAGTATGAGAATAATGTGGTACTGTACTGCATCCCCAAATAGAGTTTACTGCAGTACGATTGCCATTGGGTGGATACACCACAGACACACAAAAAAGCAGCACTTGCTGCATAGGTGAACGCACCAGGCATCATGGCCCCAAGGCAAATGCGAACGGAGATACAAAACAGTCTGGACAACGATGCGGACTACGATGATGAGGACTGGAGAAGCTGGCAGGTCAATGGCAGGTCAATGGGTGCGCTATAAATTGGCTATAATGCTTTGCCATTTTGATGGAAGATCCGGTCGCTAAATCTGAGTTCTGTTCAGGTTGAAGCTGGTTCAATCCTAAGGTTGACCCAAGGCCCCATGTTCAGTGGTCCACCCTGCCACTTTTTACGATGTGTGTTCCCTTGGTTTGATCCCCATGTTTGACGGCTTAAAACTGTTTTTTTGCGGGTGAGGATTACGACGTGACACAGTCCGCACAGTTCGAAGTCATGGACGTGGAAGCTGTGGATCTGTCGCATTTGGGTACGTTGAACTCGACGGTTGGACAATGAAAGAAGCAAGGGCTCCGAGGGTTTGTACAAAAGTCAACTTGCAACAGGAATTTGTTGCCCCGTTTAAGAGCCAACACAGAATGACAAATGTTGCTCATTGTTCTTTGAGACGAAAGCCAACTACGGGTGAAGTTTGTTTACGATTGTTTACCTATTTCTAACCATCTCCAAACATCAAGAGTGTTTCTTTGGAAAGTGGCAGCTGAACGGAATGACGTTGCTTGTGGACCTGTGTAATAGCATGGACAGTCGCTGCAAATGCAGCACACTGTCTTTGCCTGGGAATGGCACTCGGATGTCAAGCAACCGGGTGCTTTTTGTGCTGTGGCGCAACTCGCGGTCATAGCCCCAAACATGGCGAAGCCTGGACTGCCAGGGAATCAGGGACCTTGCCACTCATGACCTTGGAATCTTGTAATGGAACCAATGGGGTCGACAGGGGATGTGTTTGAAAATGAGGGTACCCTGTAGTTAATTACTGCACACTTAATAGCTCCAATTAGATCCAGTTCGATGGTTGAGAAAATCATACGTTACCCATCTTTCCCCATTCAAAAGGCCAGTTATATGGGAGTTTACGGTTCAGCTCATCGTTGGACACCCTCATGCGACCATTGCCACATATTGCCACTGGATCCCAGCCGGACTCGCCACTTCACTATTTCGTACAGTACTTGGTGTGATTTTTTGTGGTCCCGATGGTCCCGGTTTGGTGAGGTTTTTGTTGACCAATGTTGACCATACCCTGTGGTAAACTAACATAACTATGGAAAATCACAATTTTTCATGGGAAAATCCACTATAAATAGCCATGTTCAATAGCTATTTTGACATAACCAGAGGGTATTTCAAGCTGCTTGGTAGTTGACCCGTCCTTCGGATGTGAGTCCTCAAAGGGATGATCCCAACTGACCGCGAAGCGCGAAGCTTGGCGAAGCCCCAGGCGGCGCTGTGAAGTTCGAAGTGGAGCCGCCCTTGCCTCCAGGTTGCCCCGATGTTCAGTCATTGACTAGGGGATACATATTAGATCATATTAGCATTATATAATTATATATATATTATACATAATTACATAATTATGTGTGTGTGTGCCTGATTGTAATTGATGATATATATTTATACACACACATATATATATATATATATATATGTGTGTGTGTGTGGGGATATGTATGAAAACACAAGGCAACAAACACTGGGGATATTTGCTCGGTTGTTTTTCGCTACCTGTGTATGTCCTTTCGTTTTTTCCATCCTGAGATGATCAATTCAGGCGTTCATTTTGGCATGAGGAACTTTGATATTTCGTGTGTCGTGCTCAATAAGTGTCGGTCACAAGAAAACTGACTGGGGGTTTTCCATATATTGGGAATAAGAATCCCAACTGACTAATAATAATATATAATAATCCATATATTGAAACCACCAACCAGAAAACTGCCATCAGTCGAGGGAGCCCCTGCAGGCCTCACCTTGAACCCGGCCACTGGAACCATCAGCGGGCAACCAGCACCTTGGATGAGCCGGATTTCCAAAACTGGAGGAGCCGGATATCATCGGATAGATAGATCCCAATAATAGATGGAGATAAACTATTATTAGTGGTTAATAATAATAATAGATAGATCCCAATATACCATTATTAGTGGTTAATAATAGATATTGATAGATATTGATATTAACCACTAATAATGGTATATTGACCACTAATTATCGTTGATAATGGGGATCTTAACCCCTCGTAATACGGTTATGTCATGTTGTCTATTTTCCGACAATTAATTTGTTATATGGCTGTGGACAAACACCATCAAAATTGGGTAACATGGGCCATACCTTCCATGGCGATGTTGAATTACTAGAATCACTAGAGGGTAGATCCCAATTCCACTGTTTCTATGTGGTTCTAATGAATCATGAAGTTTGAGAAAGTTTGGGAGTTTGGGCGTCCCAAATTTCAAGAAGCCGATGACGAAAAAAATGTGCCCTTGTTCCAGGCGATTAGGAAATGCGTCCCTTTTCATCAATGCTAAGGGCGTTCATGAAATGTGGTTCGTAGTCCAAAAAACATGCGCGTACCTTGTTTGAGTCTGTTGATATATATATATATATGTATATGTATATGTGTGTGTGTATACATATGGTACAAACTGTAGAATGATTGTATATATTGTATATATTGATGGTGCGTCTGAATATTTTGGAGCGTTTTCTCGAAATGGCTTCTCAACAGTTGGTGCACATAAAGATATATTTGCATACATAATTATGCATGTTGCATGTGTATGTGTATAGATATGTGTGTGCTATATCGCAGGCGGTGTATCCAACGGATTCCAGGAGCCGTTTGTGGTTGCCAAACCACCAGCTGGGTATCCAAATACTGGGCCCACAAGAATTTGCAATTGGTAAGTCCTAAACCATCCATCTTTTTCGGGACTGATCATGTTGACCCGTACCCAAATTCATAGTAATCATATAGTACATATCCAAGAATCCATGGTATGTTTCTTCAACCCACCATCTTTGTAGGTTTCATTGGGCCCTAAAAATCCCGCCTGTCTCGGCCCTGGTTTTTTCACTGTCCGGGTCTTAGGTGGCCGCGGTAGCGGAGAGGAGCTACTGCATCAAGGTGTAGATGGGAACCTCTGGAACTTGGATAGGAGCCATGAAAAAAATCATGAAAATTGCCATACCCTCTGGTAATTTAACATAGCTATTGAAAATGGCAATTTATAGTGGATTTTCCCATTAAAAATGGTGATTTTCCATAGTTAAGTTAGTTTACCAGAGGGTAAATTGCAGGAGAAAATGATGTTCAGCCATCTATTGCAATTGGGGATGCCCCTTCTTTTAAGATGACCTTTGCAATTCAGATCATTCAGGGGCAATGATGATTCAACCATCAAATTAAGGCTGTTTCCCTGTCATTTTCAGACAAACACATTTCCATATGTCCATATGACGGCCACTTGGGTAAAATGGTGCATAAATCCCTTGAGATTTTTGGGAGTGTTCCCATATGTTTCAGACGTAGAGCTAAAAATTACGAACATGTTCATATACCGCTAAGCTACTGTACATAACTCTGTGTTGGTTCATACTTACAACTTACAAGCTTTACTCTGAAACTCAGATATCTGATGATTTTGTATCTCCTTATCTCGGCATGCTTGCTGGCTCCGTGTCTTTCAAACAATACTCTACAGTGAATTCACATACCTATGGAAACCCGGATGGACAATCCATGTCCATTAATCGCAATTAATGGACACAGATTGTCCATATCTATATATGTTCGTGTGCGGGGGTGGGTAAGTCACGAAAAAACACAATTTTGGTTTGTCTGATGAATAGATATATTAATACCAAAAAAAACAAAATTAAAAATGTCTGATGGTTTATCATGGTTTTCTCTACTATAACCATAATTAACGGCCCCTTCCCCATGTTTGGACAAACCCAAATCTGATCGCGTTACATATTTGTATCATTGCTATTCCATATAACATATATCTGTTCGAAATGTTTATAAAGTACAAATATCCCCATCAAAAAACCGCAGGAATAGCCTCTTTATCCCAGGAATCAACCCAGTTTATAAGCCATATGTTTGGTTAAAAACGCGCAGGAAACAGCCCATAGAAATCCCATGATTTTCCCAGGCCATAGCCTCTACAGAGCTGGTGCTGCGAGTGCCGATGTCGGATTGGGAAATGGCATGGAGATGTCATGGAAATGTCAGAAAACCACGATTTTTACGGATTTTTACTGCTAGGATTTTACTGTTCTATCCTTTTTTTACCCATTTTGGGGGTTTGCTTCATATTTTTCTGAACAGAGAGGGAGTGAGACAATATCATGCATTGTAGTTGATTTAGACTTATATCATTTGAAGTTATTCGAGACCATATGATATCATTTAACTTCATTTGTTTGTATGATTGTGTATTTTGATTATATATACCATATTCTGTCATTGGCTGTCCGGCAATTCACTTGCTGATACCTTGAACACTAGTTGCGAAGATGTTTCCTACTCGACATGGTCATTTTGGGTACTACCTTAGTACTTTGGAGGGTTTGGAACTTTCTGGCTCCACCACTATACTAGGTGTTTATTGTTTTGAATTATGTTTATGTTAAAAATGGCCATGCATGTTTATTTATATATATATATACATGTGCGTGTGCGTGTTTGTGCGTGAATGTATACATCCATATATACAAACATATGTATACACATATATGTATACGATATAAATATAGATATATTTAAGCTTATACATACCTACATATGCATATGCATATCCAGATAGATCGATAGATAGATAGGTAGGCAGATAGATAGATAGATAGAGTCTGTATCATTATGGCCCATCGCATTTGCCAGTTGGGTTTGGAGGCTTGAGCCATGGGGTGCCCAGGTAGACGAACCCGAAGTCGAAGAACCCGAAGGAGATGTCGTGGAGAAAGTGTCCATCAACGAGGCGCCAGCTGACAGGTGTGTGTTTGCGGCTCCCCCGACTGAAGAGGAGCTTGGATGGTAAATATCAAAGGTTCATAGAGTATAATAATGGTATAATAATGGTATAATAATGGTATAATAATGGTATAATAATGGTATAATAATGGTCAATAATGGTATAATAATGGTATAATAATGGTATAATAATGGTATGAAAGGTCATCTCATATCTGTGAAAATAAGGTCATAAGGATTCATAAGGTATAAAACTTCATGATGTCCTTCAATCCGTTGTGTTTAGTCCTGTGACCCCCAGGATTTCGCAACACAACTGGAAGCTGCCGAGTCCTAAGAGCACTGCAGCTGTCAAGCATATCACGCATGGTGTACTAGGCCAGAGATTTTTTGGTTTCCACTATGTCGAAAGCCACCCCCCTGGGCTGCTGGTTTGCCAAGGTTACACAGATTGAGAACATGCTCCCAGAACCACCTAAGATCAGGCAGCTTCAGCTGTCACCACAGCTGGGGGTTGTGGATGTTGTCGGCTTTCACTAGCTGAACCAAGGGAGGGCCCCTTAGATCGGATGTAGCTGTCCAATAACATCCAATAACTACAGGAAAAAATGTGCCTGAAGTTGATGATGTGAACCTGTTCGCAGACACAGTAGAACCAAGGAAAACCATAGTTCTTATACAAGAATAAAGAAAGGTACCAACGAAGTTTTGAGTCCACATGCCCATGGTGGTTGGACGCAATGGTCCCACATACCCATGTGCATTTGAAGCATCAAACTTTGGATCGTCAGGGGGTCTTATGGTGACTGGATGATTTGGATGGTCAGAGCCTTAGTGCTTTCGAGATTTTATCGCAGTTTGAAGCTACCTTAGTCCTTGGGAATCCAAGGGGGTCCTCAGATATCGGACAGTCCAAGCGATCCAAGGTGCACAGGGCTCATTTGGACGATCCAACTCTGGTGGATTTCAACTTTGGCAACATGCCACTTGGTATCCACTTGAGCAGATGAGGCCATCAGAATCTGATTTGGGAGCCATGCTCGCATGAAACATGCCATATCTGGGTATTGCCCACCGACTGCTGCGGGCCAATCATTGTGGCACATGGATTTGTTCCCCTTGGAAAGTGCTTTTTTTTTAACAATGGCCTTTGCGACGTCCATTTGCTGAACTGTTCAGTCTTTGTCATGTAGTGTATGTGTGACAGTTGTGGCCCAATGCCTTTTACGCGAAGTGACGATACTTGTTCTTCATATTTCATTTTCACACGTTGGTGCCCCAACTGCCAATGTTCGGTGAAATTGAAATGGAAGCGGCAGCGGGCAAAGCAAACTGGAACATCTCCAATGTGTTTTTTTCCCAGAAATGAGGTGTGCCACAAAACTCCTGGATGAATCGTCAGGTTCCCCATGAAGATGACCAGTTTTGAGCATCCCAAATTCCACATCCCACACTCTCATTATATAGATATATACACATAATATTAATTAATATTATATAATTACATATGTATATATATATATATCATGGCATATTCACCAGCAGAATTCAACCCTTTCTCTCAAACCAGTGATGGTTTCGTAGCTCTTTTCCCATGGACTTCCACGGCTTGAGGCACATGCCGCCGGCGCACCTTGAGCCGCGGATCGCTCCGAAGTTGGTGGATGCCATGGGGAGGCCGTAGCTGCCGAAGTTGGCCATCCGATGGGACCATAATTTGGCCGTCACTCAGATTGGTGAAGGATATTGAATGATTATAATTGATTTTGCATAGATAATTTAATTTTTATATCGATAATTATGGAATAATTATAGATAGATATATATATAGGTTTTCAATGGTTGAACATGGTTGCCCAGCATTTTCAGTCACATAGGTATCTACTTGGGCCAAACAAGCCATGAAGGGGATGGTTCGGCTGGAAACATGTCAATTGCTGAAGTATCACCCCCGTCCGGCGTACAAAAATAAAATGGGGGGGCAGGAGCCCCTTTTTTAAAATAAAAAAAATAAAAATAACATGAAAATAAAATGGGTCAGACCCCAGCATTTTATTTTGTGGGTGCATTTTATTTTTTGAGGTGCCTAACCCATCAAGTTAACTGACAGAGATAGCATGATAGCAAAGATGCACAGCTGTGAGCGGTCTGATCATTTTGTGAAACATTCGAGAGATTTGGAATTACTTGGACATTAACTTCGAAAATGGGTTGGCCCCCCTCATTTTCTATTGCCTTCCTTGGTCAACAAAAGACACACGGGCAGCTTACAGCAGCCAATGAGATTTCTTAAGTTTATTTATAGTTATTTGTATCTTTTCTAGAAACCGTCCAGATGTCAGAAGGACTAAACAAGACTAAACAAGACGAAACATGGTTAAAACCAATCAAATAAGGAAACAAGACTAAACAAGATCAACCCAAAAGAAAATGCCGGAGCCCGAGGTCCAACAGTTGCATAACGTAGGTCCAACAGTGGCCAGGTGGAGGGTGCCTGACGTCATTTTCTTTTTGTACCTGTCCATTGTATTTTACTTGGGTTTTCCTATCTTACCTTATGCCCTCTCATTTTATTGGCATTTTCCATTTTATTTTATTTTTTTAGGGGTTCCACCCCACCCCCTGGCAACAGACGAGGGTAAGTATCTGGGCAGTTCCCAAATCAGAAATAGGAATCCCAACATTTTCGGGTATCCCCCATGTTCAAATGTTGGGTGCATGAGTTCCCTGAAATAAATTCTTGGATGCGTTTTGCTAGCTAAATAGATGATTTGACGATTTATTCTTCCACTTTTGTGGAAGATTAGGCTATTAAAATCCCCAAGATCAAGCCAGTTGATCATAGTTGATCCCCACATTACCTACGTAGAGGTGTTCAGAGTGGATTGGAAGGATCCAAGAGTTGAATCCTCTTTGAATGGATCCCAGCTCAAGGCACGTGTTTTGAGGCTCCCAGAATCCAACCTGGCAATGGAAATCCCTCACTTACATCTCTTGATACTGGTAGATGATTTTAAGATATTTTAAGTATACATATATATATGTGTGTGTGTGTTTGTGTGTTTGTGTGTGGAGAGGACTGGAAGTTCCAATTGCCAGAAAAGACATATATATATATATACATATTATATATATACATATTATATATATATCATATGATATACAATGATGCTATATGATACTCGTACTTCCTGGGTACCTCTTTCTGCCGCAGGAACACACACATCGAGGTGCTCACTTTGTCCAACTCCAATCTGCAGAAGGTTCTGCGGCCGATTTTTTCTCGTTGAAAGGCTCAAGGTCTCCTAACGACTGACCCGATCCCTTATCATGTCAATGGAGGTACTGTACCATATAAGGCCATTTTTGTTGGGGGATATCCCCTTACATAGGCCTTACATAGGCCTTACATAGGCCTTATATATGGTAGGTACCTCCATTTTAGGATCCTGAATTTCCCATTGATCATCTGATGATTTGGAATGATTTGGAATGGGGCAAATCACCAAACAATACCAAAGATGAATGATTCTTGGTTTCAAGATGTTTCAAGCAAATTTGATCGAAGACACCACTAAGATTCAAGATGGATGAAGTGCCAGCCCCAGGAACGGTTCAAAGGAACTTCTATTTCCAGGTAATTAAGACCAATGAAAGTCATGTTCCCGGTGAGTCAACGTGAACTAATTACGTAGTAATTAGTTTTTTTTTTTAGTTATGTCTTTAATTAAAAAAAGAAACACATGGAAAATTCCATCTACCCTCTGGTAAACTAACATAACTATGGAACATCACCATTTTTAATGGGAAAATCCACTATAAATGGCCATTTTCAATAGCTATGTTAGTTTACCGTAGGGTAAATATAGAGTTGCATCTTGCGCCTGTTCCGCTGACTGATCGAGGCACAAGGGGTCGAGCTCGCGGGCTCCTTGCGGAAGAACCAGACGGTGAAGTCGGTGAATCTGGAGCGTGGCGTCTCAGAGGGCGATCCCCATGGGGATATGGCGCCTATCTAATACCTATGGGTATACCATGGGGTTATATGATAATAAATGATGATATAACCTATTATGTTTAAATAATTTTAAGTATATTTATAACTAAAATGGGATATAAACTATATATATATAACCACTGATTGAGGTGGTTTCAAAGATTTTCTGAGATTAAACTATCAAAGTGTCATATTTGGATAAGGATCCACACTGATTGATATTGAGTTGAGTTGAAACCACCAATCAGTTGCATGTTTATTTTCAATTGGCGAATCCGCAAACAATCGGGGACTCTATGAGGAAATGTTCTGTTGTTTGTTGGTTGGCTATCTTGAGCAAATTTAAGGACCACAGGAAAATAGTGGTGGTGAGCTAATTTAGGTCCCCACTGACAAAAATGTGTTGTCATGTGTTGTCCACAATCAGCTGAAACAATGCAGAAAGTGATTAGATCCAATTCTAGTTTGTTCCAGTTTCTGAACTTATCTCAAGAGACCCCGTGGCTGCCAGTGTCTTGATGCTTGGGCCGCAGGTGCAATTGGTTGGACTCCAATGCTGTGCGGGAGTTGGCCGTAGCCATCAAGGAGCCCAGCTGGGATGTTCAGTGTCTCAGCCGGTCATTTGCGCCTTCAGAGCAGGTGCGTGGGTCTGAAAGTGAGAGGCAGCTTTAAAAAGGAAAATGATGATGAATCGGTTGATTTAATTACGGATATTTAGGGTAGGATTTTTTTAGACCAACCTAGGTGAGTGCTGGGATGCGGTCAGGACAATCCGGAAAGTTCCATTGAACACCTTCGCTTCTCTCACCAGAAGCAGATGGGTCAGTTCTTTGGGAGGCTGGGAGTGGGCGGGAAGGATGCGGGACATGGTTTTCAATGGTTTTCAGCTGGTCTCCGAAGGGGATGCAGGGCAGTCTTGAGGAGGTTGGTGCTGGAACCCCCTGAAGTATCTAACGAAGCCTTAAGAATTTCCAGCAGCCATGAGCCATTCGAAAGTGTCCTGAAGGGGAGACGGTGAAGAGGCCCAAGCAACTGAACAGAGAAACTGCTCGGCCAGGCCAACAGAGGAAGCCGTGGGACAAATGATGTGGCGAAATGAGTCCATTGTCCCATGCCTCAGCTGCTTGGGAACGCCTGTGCCGATGACGTTATGACGTTACCCTAGTGAAATGTCAGCCATGTATCCCCGTCCCAAGACTGGTTCGTTGGATGGTTAAAGGATGTTAAAGCAAAGCTATATTGCCCCGTATGTATATATATATATAGGTGTTTCTCAAAATTTGGGTGCCCCCAAAACCATTCGTTTCCCGTTTTCCTACTAAACGTATCCAAAGATGATGGTCCCCAATTCAATCAACCCCCCAAGATTATGATCATAACAAGCAGAAAGTAGCAAGAGTAACAAATCAGGTGAAGCTCGGCTTCGAGTGTGACGATGCGCCGGAGCCCTGTTTTCAGCAGGTGAACCCACAGTGAGCCTTGGGATGAGCTTCATCTCTCTGAATTCTCCGAGGCATTGGAGAAATATCATTGACCGCAGCCTGTTGCGCAACAACGATTTTTGGCGCCAGGGCCTTGCTGTTTATTGTGGCTTGCACTATGGTTCTCCTGTGGATTTTTCCTATTTTTATACCTTTGTTGCGCTTGCCGTTGACCATGGTAGGGTTTTGCAGTGGTTGTCTAGTAACTTAGTAGGAGGGATTGATCGGTGCAGAACAGCCCCGCCTTTGCTAAGGGAAACGCCATGCCCCTCCAGACCCAGAGGTGAAAACTCGCTGCAGGGAAAAGGGTCGTGAGTTCGAACATGTTAGAAGTCCAGAAGTCAGCTGTTTAAGCTAACCTGTTTAGAGCGAATCTGTAAAGATCCAGCAGTGAAGTTTTAGAATGTTGATTTGGGTCCGGTTGGGTGTGAAATCCCTTGTGGAACTTGAATTCATTGGAGGCATCGCAACAAGTTCATAACTATAGTTGAATTCACACGTCCCCAAGTGGCAGCATTGAACACACCAGGAGCAAGCTACTTGTGAGAGATTTGCTGATGATTTTGGATGTTTCAAGAGTTTCTAGCTGTTTTCTGGTACTACCCACACAACGAAGCGTCATATTGTACCCCAAACTTCCAACGGTTCCCGTGGTGAGCAAGGCCCTTCCGACTGCGGAAGAACATCCTCTAGGCCAAACTGGAGCGAGTCGGAGCCAGTGATACCCAATTTTCATATACTTCCACCATACCATTTGGGTGGTCATGGGGTATCTAAAAACCATACCCAAAGAAGCGGGGTTGTTTGTTGGGTTTACCACTTTTAGTTCTTCGCCTTTTGAAGCGCACGGCTGCACATCCCCAGAGCTGTGCCCTCGTGGCAGGTCACATTCGGCTCCTGCAAGTCCCAGAGGCTTTGTCTAAAGAGGCGTCACAGGGGAAGTCGCTGACAAGACTAGTCACTAGAGTCACTGGAGTCACTAGAGGCATTGGTTTCCCAAATAGTCTGCTGAGTCTGCTGGGTGTCGCCAGATGGATACGTTGGGGGATGACCCTTCCTGGGGTCATCCCGAAGATTTCCGCACCACAGGTTCTCAGCAAGTACCCGGTTCTATGCGAATACCTGGAGCCCTGGCCGGAAAAAAAAAATATAAACTGGACACTCAGAAATGATTCAAACTGGGTATTTGGTAAATCTTTATTGAATAAATTTGCTGATGTTTTTCCACATTGTGGAGGATTGAATACCGCGTGCTCAAAAAAAAAGGAATTGGGATGAGTGTCCTTCCCACAGTAATTGGTCGGGTCACTGCGGCTTACTTTGATTGTGCCTCCACACCGGCAAAAAAAGGTTTGGGTTTAGGCTCCATCAACTTGAAATGTCTTGCACTTAGATAGCAACTTAGATATTAGATAGATATATGATATATACATATATATATAATTCCCCGCGAATCCCGGAGTGTTTTTGGGATTTGGTCATAGATTCTGAGAAATAGTTTGCACTTTAGAGTGAGGCGCGCCAGTAGATGAGTTCTTGTGATTTTGCGCGCCATCGTGAAATTCTTCAAATGACCAAAATTTAAGAGGGATATCACAAGATACTGAGCACAAGGTCAGCATGCCACAAGGTAATCAAGAGTGGAAAATCATCGTCAGGAGATTCCTGACAGCTTTCCCCAGAAATGCAGGTAAGGGTACCCATCAGCAGCACCATATCTTGTGGTGAGGCTTAGCTACAGCCAACCTTAGCCCACCTTTGCGGCCGAGGACAACAACCTCAAGATGCCAACCACGCTGCAGTTGCAGAACTGTGCCAAAAACAGTGGTCGGATCCCCAAAAGTCTTGCACTGACTGGTCGTGGTGAATCTCTTGGCGAACCTTGCAATAGATCAATAGATAAGAATGCATCAAACATGTTCCATAGATTTCCATAGTCCATATTGTTCACTTTGCCATCAGATCACTGGAACAGCGGCACTAGTGTGGTCATGTGTGTGTGTGCGCTACAGTGGGGCTCCACACTTTCGGGGATGGGGACAGCGTTGCTGCATCATCATCATCATCATCATCATCATCATCATCATCATCATAATCATCATCAACAACAACATCATCATCATCATCAGCATCATCATCATCATCATCATCAGCAGCATCATCATCATCAGCATCATCATCATCATCATCATCATCACCACCATCATCATCATCATCATCATCGGCCCCCGTCCCCGTCCTCGTTCCCGTACTCATTATCCTCATCCCGCATCACCTCAAGTTCTGCGGGTTTCTTTTGCCGAAAGTACTTAACTCCCCACAAGACGCCAAGCAAGGCTTCCTGTTCCCAAAATTTTCTGTTACTTCTCAGCTCAGAAAAGCACGTGGACCTTGGGAGTGACCCATCATTTAGAGGACTCAATGGGTTCAATCATGTTCAATCCCAGGAAATGACGCATCACCAGTCCTGCCATCTCCAAAAATCCAAGAGGTCTTCAACTGTCCTACACCGTGGCAGCTCCCATGATCAAAGAGTTTCGCTCCTGGATGATCGACAAAGCTGTGGGACAGCAGGCGATGGCCTTGGAAAGCCTTGGATGGGGTGCTTCCATATAGTCACGGGCCAAAGAGCTGGATCCATATTTGATATACCCTCTGGTTATTTAACAGTTTGCCATGGAAATATTTGTTTTGGAAAATCAAGGGAAATCTAAAGTGATATATGCCACCCACAACAAAAACCAACACTTTACTTTCTTAGTCGGGAAAATGGTGATGAACCGTCAAAATTTGGGATTGTCCCGTATTTTGTGACGACCCAAAATCTTGATCGGCACGTGCTAGCGTATCCATGGGAAGTTTGATTCGGATCCTCTGGTTTGGGTCTCGAGAAGTCACCGACTGAACTTTGGTTGAACAAAAATCCTAATAATTAATCATGCATAAAGATATATAATTATGTATTTACGATTAATTATAAATTATATACGTGTATATATATAAATGCATGTGCATTTACTATTCTTATGTGACTTAGTGTATTTGTTTAACCTTTGTTGTGATTTTGGGCAATTAACATATTCCTCATGTTGATGTTTGCTGTTCTGAATTGATCTGAGTTGCATTTGTTGATATTGTTTCTGAATTCTGTTCTTCTGGTTCCTAAGGATCATTGTCATAATGCTGTTGATTTATGTGAAATCGGCAGTGGAACGGTAGAGGCAGCAGCCACTCCAGTAACGGTAGGTGGCCGTCTTTGACGTCTTCAACACCTCAATCCATGGCATTCTCCGGCGATGGAGCTCGGAGCATGACAACTGGGCGGCCGCTGGGCCGGATTCGCCGTTCAATGGCTGGGTGGAATGGGGGCAGTGAGCCGTCACCATTGATGGTCAAAAAGGGGTAATCATCCTGAAAATGGACATGAATAATCACTCAAAAAGGATTTGGGAATTAGAGTCTATATTAACACTTCTATGATCATTTATCATGTATTACTTTGATTTGCCCAGAGGTGGGGATATCCACTGAATTACCCGTACCCGTAAACAACCGTGGCTGGCTAGAGGTCTCCTTGATGGGAAGAGAATCTATGTGTTGGATTGCCAGCGGGTGTGAGATATCAATGATTTGAGATGAGTCAATGGTTGGTTCATCGACTGTTCCTGGGGCCACAACACTCAGACACTCAGCTCCGCATTGGGTCTGCCATGGTTCAGCTGATCCATCCATTGCATGGGTCTTGGAAGTTTGATTTGCACCATTTTGCACCTAAGGTCGAGATTGGAACTGAGGAAGGCAAAAGGCAGGGCATCGGGTAGCTTGGGGTCATAAAGTCATCACCTGACAATCTTCGTAGGTTTGGCCTACAGCACATCTCTCAACTCCAAGTGTTGTAAATCTACGTTGCTTACATGAAAACAAGTATGTTAGAAAATCATGTTAGGGGACCAAGCATGTCCAGAATGGCCTGCACCCCATCAGGCTGCTGTGGAAAATGTCAAAACCCACCAAAATGGATCTGGACAAAGATTATCAACATCAATTGGACATATTGGACATGGCAATCTTTGGGTTCCCTGCTCAATTTCGAGGTATTTTTTTGCGCTGTACCTGGAATTGTGTTTGCAAAGATCTTTCGGCTTTGCCCTTGCCGTAGTGCGAAGTGTGTAAGTGTAAATGTTCACAAATGTCCAGTGCACTGCATGGCTACATGGACCCGTCATCTACTGACAAAGGTGCAGCAGATGAAACTGATAAAGTCAATCTTCAGGTGCTGTGCTTGACTGGAGAAGGAGTGGCATTGAGTGTCCCTCGCTCTATGCTTGGGTATGACCTGTGGAGGTTGGCCTGGTGTCCGAGAAGCTTCCATGCAAGCCAGGCGCAAAGCTCGCCATGCATCACGTGAATGCAAAGCTGAGGCTGAATCAAACCTTGGGAGAGCAAGGGATGGTTGGAACATCGGCAACGCTTTCCTGCACTTACATACCAACAAATGTGTACAGAGCATGGTGTTACATATGTGGGCTCCGGACTTGTGAGGAAAATTTTGTGCTAGAAGGCGTCACACAACTTGAGGGAGCAATCCCTGGAGAGTATTTGCATCATTTGCCCCGCAGCCTTACAAGATTGACTTTTGGAAGTGATTTCAACCAAAGCCTGGAGAAGGTCACCTTGCCATCGAGTCTTCAAAGCTTGAGTTTTGGCAATGACTTCGACCAAAGCCTGGAGCAGGTGACCTTGCCATCGAGTCTTCAAAGCTTGAATTTTGGCAGGTATTTCAACCAAAGTATGGAGGGGGTGACCTTGCCATGGAGTTTGCAAAGCTTGAGTTTTGGCCTTTCCTTCAACCAAAGCCTGGAGCGAGTGACCTTGCCATCGAGTCTTCAAAGATTGAGTTTTGGCAGGAATTTCAACCAAAGCCTGGAGCAGGTGACCTTGCCGTCGAGTCTCCAAAGCTTGAGTTTTGGGCTTAGATTCAACCAAAGCCTCGAGCGGGTGACCTTGCCATCGAGTCTCCAAAGCTTGACTTTTGGAAGTGATTTCAACCACAGCCTGGAGCAGGTGACCTTGCCATCGAGTCTTCAACGCTTGAGTTTTGGCAGGCATTTCAACCAAAGCATGGAGGGGGTGACCTTGCCATGGAGTCTTCAAAGCTTGACTTTTGGAAGTGATTTCAACCAAAGCCTGATCTTGCCATCGAGTCTTCAAAGCTTGAGTTTTGGCCTTTCAGTCAACCAAAGCCTGGAGCAGGTGACCTTGCCATTGAGTCTTCAAAGCTTGAGTTTTGGAGGGACTCTTAACCAGAGCCTGGAGCGGGTGACCTTGCCATCGAGTCTTCAATTCTTGAGCTTTGGCGGGAATCTCAGCCACAGCCTAGAGCAGGTCACCTTGCCGTCGAGTCTCCAAAGCTTGAGTTTTGGGCTTGGATTCAACCAAAGCCTGGAGCGGGTGACCTTGCCATCGAGTCTTCAAAGCTTGACTTTTGGAAGTGATTTCAACCAAAGCCTGGAACAGGTGACCTTGCCATCGAGTCTTCAACGCTTGAGTTTTGGCAATGACTTCAACCAAAGCCTGGAGCAGGTTACCTTGCCATTGAGTCTTCAAAGCTTGAGTTTTGGTTTTCATTTCAACCAGACCCTGGAGCAGGTGACCTTGCCATCAAGTCTTCAAAGCTTGAGTTTTGGCCTTTTGTTCAACCAAAGCCTAGAGCGAGTGACCTTGCCATCGGGTCTTCAAAGTTTGAGTTTTGGCGATGATTTCAATCAAAGCCTGGAGCGGGTGACCTTGCCATCGGGTCTTCAAAGTTTGAGTTTTGGCGATGATTTCAATCAAAGCCTGGAGCGGGTGACCTTGCCGTCGAGTCTTCAAAGCTTGAGCTTTGGCCTTAAGTTCAATCAAAGCCTGGAGCGGGTGACCTTGCCGTCGAGTCTTCAAAGCTTGAGATTTGGCGGGAATCTCAACCAAAGCCTGGAGGGGGTGACCTTGCCATCAAGTCTTCAAATCTTCAGTGCTAGCTTTTTGTCTTGCATTATCTCTGTCAGTGCCTCCAGCTGTTCTTTGTTTGATTGATATGTTTATATTCACGAACTATGGCAAAAGAGGCTTGCTTTCCCAGGCATGCGTGAGGCGTCCCAAGCCAGTACCTGTTTTGTCGTGAATAGCGTAAATAGGTGTTGCGATGTTATATAAATATATGTGTTACCTACAGTATACTAGTATCCACCAGCTCAATATACACATGCATATAACATATACATGCATACATATTCATAGACATAGATACATTGAAATCCATATTTACATAATTAAAAGGTCGGTGTATACGAGTTTTTACACGTGCACGTATCTTTATATACACGATGCATTGTTTTACACGATGCATTGTTTGTATACATATTATCATATCTGATTTAATTGCAGAATGATATGCAACCTATATCCGTTATTGAGAATGTTATTCCCGCATGCCAACTTTCCACCATTGATCGATTTATCCTGGGCCCATCCGTTGGCAATTGGGAAATTATATAGCCAACCACCACGTTAAGCAACGGTAAAAACAAAAAAAATATGGAAAATTACCAAAAAAAAATGGGAGTCTGTTGCAGCCAAGCACTGGGAATTCAGAGGACAAACACGGGGAAATCAAAAAATAAGGGTTACTGCAAACCATCAGAAACAAGACTTGTCATCATAAACAATAGGGATATAATCTACTAGGGTACCTGCAGAAGTATCTGAAATGAATGGTTGAACTCTTTGGAGATGGCCATGGAGAGAGGGAGAGAGAGAGAGAGACCACCAAGGGGTTTATATCTCAATCCTAAGTTTGATTAATACTAAGTTAATCCCCCCCATGTTCGGTTATATCAATTATATCCTAAGGATATTTTCTTGGGGCGAATGGTTTCTCGTTGCACTTCACCTTCGCTCCCCGTGCAGGTGCACCTTCAGGTCCTCTAAGGATCCAGCAGTCTCAGTGCCCGGAAAGCTCAGCAGTGGACTGATTGGGCAGGGTGATTCCATCCCGGTGCTCCAACCTTTCATATACCTTCCAATTAACATAGATATGGAGAATCCACAATTTCATACAACTTCTAGATTGGTTTTTTGGGTGACGTTTGTATGTACCCATGTTGATTTACTTCTATTTACTATTATGTACTTAAGGGTACAGATAACAATGGAAGTTGATGCTTTTACCTTCTTGATGATTCACCAATAGTACAATGCGCCAGTTTGAACTTGCCTAGAATGCCTAGCTGGTTGGTGGTTTCAAACATTTTCTATTTTCCATGAAATATGGGATAATCCTTCCCATTGACTAATATTTTTCAAGATGGTTAAAGCCACCAACCAGCTAGATGTTCCATTGATCTTCCTTTTCTATCCTGTTCTATTCGTTGTCATTGCTGTCCATCCTGTTGCCTCGGACGTCGGAGAGGTCAGAGCAATGGGTCGATTGGCTGCGCAGCGGCAAGCAGATTGGTTGGGCACAGAGCCGTGCGGGCGCGTAAGTGCAATGGCATTTGTGTGGCAGCTATGAGTCTGGCAGTGCATTCATCCCAGGCGGGTGAATTCAAAAATATCCACTACATTATTATATATATACATACATATATGTATGTATATATATATATGTATATATATATGTGTGTGTGTATGTATGTATGTTTGCATGCATGCATGCATGTATTTTTACATACATACATACATGCATACATACATGCATACCTACCTACCTACCTACCTACATACATACATACATACACGGTATATTATTACATTCTATCATCTAGTTTATAGTTTTAACTTGACAGTTTTCACAACTATATGACGTTTGGATGCCTTGGGTACAGGTGGATTTTTTTGGGGGCCAAACTTGGACCCACACCCAATATCCCTTAAATTTGGTGGCTATAAAGATCTATATAATTGTTCTTGGTACCGCTTCCCACGTCCTGTTTCCACCGTTGTTTTTTAGGCCGAATGGATGACAACATCCATGTGCCGCGCTTGGTCGCGGTGTTGGCATGTTAATTCGCAAGAGCTCTTGGGGATGTTCGATGCCTCAATTTCGACGATTGCTGACACATGGCAGTTCAAAAAACATAAATCCAATTTGTTTGCCCTCTTCAATTCTTGAGCTGCTCGTATGGTTGACCCTATAGCCTTATGACCAACCATTTGCATTGAACTACTCTAAATGCGGATGCCAGACATTTCGATTCGCGATTGCAAAAAGAGCAGCATGATGCCGCCATGCCAGTTATGTACGTTCTTTATCCACTTAATTTGTCCTCCATTGTGCAGGTTCAGGTTTGCCAATCATGGCCAGCAACAGGCCAAACGTGGGATACTTTTCAAAAAAGCTTTCCCACCATGGGACCATGGTTTTTTTTCCTCTCGGTTTACGGAGGATGTCTCCGGGGCCGAACATTTGGCTCAAAGGCAGGACAGGAAACCTTTTTGCAAATCACATGCATTCAATATCATTCAATTGCAGCTGGGTTCTAGCGATAAAATTTGATTCAAGGTAACTCGAGGTGATCAAAACGCAAGTCTCAAGGTCGTTCAAGCAACGATTATAAATTATATACGTGTATATATATATATATATAAATGCATGTGCATTTACTATTCTTATGTGACTTAGTGTATTTGTTTAACCTTTGTTGTGATTTTGGGCAATTAACATATTCCTCATGTTGATGTTTGCTGTTCTGCATTGATCTGAGTTGCATTTGTTGATATTGTTTCTGAATTCTGTTCTTCTGGTTCCTAAGAATAATTGTCATAATGCTGTTGATTTATGTGAAATCGGCAGTGGAACGGTAGAGGCAGCAGCCACTCCAGTAACGGTAGGTGGCCGTCTTTGACGTCTTCAACACCTCAATCCATGGCATTCTCCGGCGATGGAGCTCGGAGCATGACAACTGGGCGGCCGCTGGGCCGGATTGAGGGCGAAATGGCTGGGTGGGATGGGGGCAGTGAGCCGTCACCATTGATGGTCAAAAAGGGGTAATCATCCTGAAAATGGACATGAATAATCACTCATCGGATTTGGGAATTAGAGTCTATATTAACACTTCTTTTTTTTCATTTATCATGTATTACTTTGATTTGCCCAGAGGTGGGATATCCACTGAATTACCCGTACCCGTAAACAAACGTGGCTGGCTAGAGGTCTCCTTGATGGGAAGAGAATCTATGTGTTGGATTGCCAGCGGGTGTGAGATATCAATGATTTGAGATGAGTCAATGGTTGGTTCATCGACTGTTCCTGGGGCCACAACACTCAGACACTCAGCTCCGCATTGGGTCTGCCATGGTTCAGCTGATCCATCCATTGCATGGGTCTTGGAAGTTTGATTTGCACCATTTTGCACCTAAGGTCGAGATTGGAACTGAGGAAGGCAAAAGGCAGGGCATCGGGTAGCCTGGGGTCATAAAGTCATCACCTGACAAATCTTCGTAGGTTTGGCCTACAGCACATCTCTCAACTCCAAGTGTTGTAAATCTACGTTTCTTGCATGAAAACAAGTATGTTAGAAAATCATCTTAGGGGACCAAGATGTCCAGAATGGCCTGCACCCCATCAACCCCATCAGGCAGCTGCTGTGGAAAATGTCAAAACCCACCAAAATGGATCTGGACAAAGATAATTGGACATGGCAATCTTTGGGTTCCCTGCTCAATTTCGAGGTAGATTTTTTGCGCTGTACCGCTGCGCTGTACCTGGAATTGTGTTTGCAAAGATCTTTCGGCTTTGCCCTTGCCCAGTAGTGCGAAGTGTGTAAGTGTAAATATTCACAAATGTCCAGTGCACTGCATGGCTACATGGACCCGTCATCTACTGACAAAGGTGCAGCAGATGAAACTGATAAAGTCAATCTTCAGGTGCTGTGCTTGACTGGAGAAGGAGTGGCATTGAGTGTCCCTCGCTCTATGCTTGGGTATGACCTGTGGAGGTTGGTGTCCGAGAAGCTTCCATGCAAGCCAGGCGCAAAGCTCGCCATGCATCACGTGAATGCAAAGCTGAGGCTGAATCAAACCTTGGGAGGGCAAGGAATGGTTGGAACATCGGCAACGCTTTCCTGCACTTACATACCAACAAATGTGTACAGAGCATGGTGTTACATATGTGGGCTCCGGACTTGCGAGGAAAATTTTGTGCTAGAAGGCGTCACACAACTTGAGGGAGCAATCCCTGGAGAGTATTTGCATCATTTGCCCCGCAGCCTTACAAGATTGACTTTTGGAAGTGATTTCAACCAAAGCCTGGAGAAGGTAACCTTGCCATCGAGTCTTCAAAGCTTGAGTTTTGGCAATGACTTCGACCAAAGCCTGGAGCAGGTGACCTTGCCATCGAGTCTTCAAAGCTTGAGTTTTGGCAGGCATTTCAGCCAAAGTATGGAGAGGGTGACCTTGCCATCGAGTCTTCAAAGATTGAGTTTTGGCAGGAATTTCAACCAAAGCCTGGAGCAGGTGACCTTGCCGTCGAGTCTCCAAAGCTTGAGTTTTGGGCTTAGATTCAACCAAAGCCTGGAGCGGGTGACCTTGCCATCGAGTCTTCAAAGCTTGACTTTTGGAAGTGATTTCAACCACAGCCTGGCGCAGGTGACCTTGCCATCGAGTCTTCAACGCTTGAGTTTTGGCAGGCATTTCAACCAAAGCATGGAGGGGGTGACCTTGCCATGGAGTTTGCAAAGCTTGAGTTTTGGCCTTTCCTTCAACCAAAGCCTGGAGCGAGTGACCTTGCCATCGAGTCTTCAAAGCTTGAGTTTTGGTTCTAATTTCAACCAAAGCCTGGAGCATGTGACATTGCCATTGAGTCTTCAAAGCTTGACTTTTGGAAGTGATTTCAACCAAAGCCTGATCTTGCCATCGGGTCTTCAAAGCTTGAGTTTTGGCCTTTCAGTCAACCAAAGCCTGGAGCAGGTGACCTTGCCATTGAGTCTTCAAAGCTTGAGTTTTGGAGGGACTCTTAACCAGAGCCTGGAGCGGGTGACCTTGCCATCGAGTCTTCAATTCTTGAGCTTTGGCGGGAATCTCAGCCACAGCCTAGAGCAGGTCACCTTGCCGTCGAGTCTCCAAAGCTTGAGTTTTGGGCTTAGATTCAACCAAAGCCTGGAGCGGGTGACCTTGCCATCGAGTCTTCAAAGCTTGACTTTTGGAAGTGATTTCAACCACAGCCTGGAACAGGTGACCTTGCCATCGAGTCTTCAACGCTTGAGTTTTGGCAATGACTTCAACCAAAGCCTGGAGCAGGTTACCTTGCCATTGAGTCTTCAAAGCTTGAGTTTTGGTTTTCATTTCAACCAGACCCTGGAGCAGGTGACCTTGCCATCAAGTCTTCAAAGCTTGAGTTTTGGCCTTTTGTTCAACCAAAGCCTAGAGCGGGTGACCTTGCCATCGGGTCTTCAAAGTTTGAGTTTTGGCGATGATTTCAATCAAAGCCTGGAGCGGGTGACCTTACCGTCGAGTCTTCAAAGCTTGAGCTTTGGCCTTAAGTTCAATCAAAGCCTGGAGCGGGTGACCTTGCCGTCGAGTCTTCAAAGCTTGAGATTTGGCGGGAATCTCAACCAAAGCCTGGAGGGGGTGACCTTGCCATCAAGTCTTCAAATCTTCAGTGCTAGCTGTTTGTCTTGCATTATCGCTGTCAGTGCCTCCAGCTGTTCTTTGTTTGATTGATATGTTTATATTCACGAACCATGGCAAAAGAGGCTTGCTTTCCCAGGCATGCGTGAGGCGTCCCAAGCCAGTACCTGTTTTGTCGTGAATAGCGTAAATAGGTGTTGCAATGTTACATAAATATATGTGTTACCTACAGTATACTAGTATCCACCAGCTCAATATACACATGCATACAAATTCATAGACATAGATACATTGAAATCCATATTATGAATATAAAAGTATGATTAAGTATGTACATAATTAAAAGGTCGGTGTATATGAGTTTTTACACGTGCACGTATCTTTATATACACGATGCATTGTTTTACACGATGCATTGTTTGTATACATATTATCATATCTGATTTAATTGCAGAATGATATGCAAACTATATCCGTTGTTGAGAATGTTATTCCCGCATGCCAACTTTCCACCATTGATCGATTTATCCTGGGCCCATCCGTTGGCAATTGGGAAATTATATAGCCAACCACCACGTTAAGCAACGGTAAAAACAAAAAAAATATGGAAAATTACCAAAAAAAATGGGAGTCTGTTGCAGCCAAGCACTGGGAATTCAGAGGACAAACACGGGGAAATCAAAAAATAAGGGTTACTGCAAACCATCAGAAACAAGACTTGTCATCATAAACAATAGGGATATAATCTACTAGGGTACCTGCAGAAGTATCTGAAATGAATGGTTGAACTCTTTGGAGATGGCCATGGAGAGAGGGAGAGAGAGAGAGAGACCACCAAGGGGTTTATATCTCAATCCTAAGTTTGATTAATACTAAGTTAATCCCCCCCATGTTCGGTTATATCAATTATATCCTA